AAAAAAAAAAAAAAAAACTTAAACCTTTCTAAGATATTTGAAATAATGATTTTAAGTATTTACCATTTAAAAATAAATAGAAAAACTATTTTAATAAAAACATGATTCATCAGTAGGGCTGTGCATGATCAGAAGTTATTCATAAAAATATACCAACCTCCTATCTCATTAACACCCCTAATAATAATGAATAAACCCTATAAAATAAACCAATCAGATATGGCAGTAGCATAATCCCTCACTGAGAAAAAAGCTTAAATTTAGTATAAAATCTAATTACACAGTTTCAACTAAAGTCCCTGAAGCTTAGCAAACTTTTAAAAATTGGACTAAAAAGGCCTTTCCCTTTAATCATTCCTACACAACCAGCTGGCATGAAGATTAGCTGTTTTTATATTGATTTTTTTTTGTTTGTTTTTAACCGCTCATCATTTTTCTTCCTGTGTATGGTGGTAAACAAAACATGCACAATCACAGAGCCTCATAGATAGAGGCTAAGAAATTAGGCCTCTTGGTCATTTTCTATTTACAAGCCAGGTAAAGCTTTTATTAAACATAGGCTGTTAGTGGTGGTGAAAATTGAGGCACTGATTACTTTTTATTGAAAACAAAAGCGCTCCTATTTTTTTATAAAGGATTTTCTCCCAACACCAAAAGGGGGTAATGGCTGATTGTGTATTTAAAGGTGAAGAAAGGCTTTCATGTCAGATTTATAGATTGATCCTGTCAATGGAACATATTGGATATTAAAGGGATTTATTGTGAACATAGTCTTGATAACAATGCTACTCAAGGAATTCTGGTTGAGCTTAAATTGAACCAGAATCTCTCTGTTTCGTCATGATGTGGTCATTACTTCTGATTGGACATAAAATCTAAACTGATAAAAAAATCAATTCCTCGTTGAAAAAGTATATACAAATGGAATGTTTGCTTTTCATAGATTCTTTTTTGGGCTTTGTAAATACAGTTATACCAATTACTTATTGTTTGTTTTTAGTCAAAATGTAAGTTTGTCTGAAAAGATCACAAAAATCTATTTCTATTTGCAGTCTGTGTGACACTGATATAACACTGATATAAGTTATACGGTAAATGTTCTCAGATATGAGGTATGTATCTTTTTATATCGTAATAGGAAATTTGCATTCATCTTTTTATTAAAGCTATGTAAATACATTTAATTATATAAATGAATTGATTTATATAAATTATTTTTACTTTAAAAATTGTATGGAATTATTTTATTCCTATTATTTTATTCCTGTTCCTAATTTTATTCCTAATTATTTTATTCCTTTCAAAATATTTCCTTCCTATAACTGCTGACCAGCTGTGGATAATTCCACTGGTACTTTGTCTTTGTTGAGTCTTAAAGGTTGATCTTTAGCTTTGTCCACAGATTCTCTGTTTGGTTTAACTATAGTATAAGTATAGTGGAGGATTTTCTTTTTTCAGGTGGATCATCAAAATAAGTGGTCCTCCTAACTGTCAATCATTCTGGTGATATGTTTATGTAAGGCCGTCCTACGTGTTCATCCCCATTTTCACTTACCGTTGGTGAGATTGACATAGTGGAAAAATTCCCAATTTTCTCTTTTAAAGTAAGCTTGTTTAAGCTATGCAAAGTGCAACTTTTAAAAAGAGCGTGCATGAGGAGAAATGGGCTTGTGCATGCTCTTGCACGCCTTTAATAGGCGTTCCCTCTGGTGAGCGGGTACAAAAATCCTGCATTATACCTTTAATATTGATTCCAGTCAGTTGAAATAAAAAAAAACTGCTTTAAAACCTATATCTACTGGGTTCATGAGTTTTTTTTCGGCGTGACTTAATTTTTACTATTAGTAAGGCAATGTTGAAATTCCTGTTTTTGACCATACCTTTTTGACAAAGCTTCTGGTTAGAGCGTCTTAAATCATTGTGAGCTACTCCTGCAATTATTCTGCCGTAGGCTAAGACCATGTTTCCTAACTTTACCTCTTTGTTCCACAGCTCTCTAGTTATGCTTTATGTGCATTTAGATCGACTAATTTCATGTTCTCTCTTTTTTTTTTCTCCCCCTATGAGAACTCTGTTCTGTGAAACGTTTCCAAAAGAGCTTAGCTGTCTTTGTCTATAACTATTGACCATTTCTCTCGTAGACAAAGTTACTCAGAATTTACTACTGGGACATAACTTATCTGTTTAGCTACATTTCCCCCCTAGATGAAGCCACTAAAGAAACTTCTACTGTGGTTATCTTTATGGTATTCTTTTATCCTAGGGAGCACCCATGGAACAGTGCTGCTTCATTCCGGTTTGACTGCGTATTTCTATGTATATATTGGATCTTTTTTTTTACTTGTTTGCTGCCTTTAGATAATATTTGCTGTGATCCGAGCTTTGTGGGTATACTAAACTGAACTGCACTGAAGGACAAAGAGTCATTTGAAATTGCATTTTCAATTCTTCAGTTTTTTTTTTTCAGTCACACTCATCACACGTTCCAAAACATTAATTCAGTTTGTTTGTGGAGTGAAGGTGAACTCTGAAACAACGCCGCAGTTCATGAAAAAACATGCCGTTTCCTTTTACCCACAGCTTTTCACATTCCATTAATTCAACACACACATCAAGTCTTAGCTGAAGCAAACAGCTGCCTGAAGTGAAAGTGTTTGTGGGCAGGTGTGATATCGCTCCTGCAGAGTCTGATCACGGATGTGGGATAATTCTCCCTGCAGCCATTATAACACTAAAAACACTTATGCAGAATCTGTAATTTCAGACTCTGTTTTAGACGATGGTGAGCTCAAATTTGAATCTTATGCAGATTTTCAGACAATGTATCTGTTCTGTTTCTCTCATCAGATCCGTCTTCCACCTGACTCAACTCTGTGTGCCCCACCTGATTAAAACCAAAGGGTCCATTGTCAATGTTTCCAGTGTGAATGGACAGAGATCTGTGGGTATCGTACATCTGGATATAAACTACTATTTGTATGTCTATAAACTATGACTATTATGTTTTTAAGCTAAACCAGGATGTGCTTTCTCTCTTTTAGTTTTCTGGTGTGTTGGCTTACTGCATGTCTAAGTCCGCTATTGACCAGTTTACACGCTGCGTGGCTCTTGGTAAGATTAGGATATACATTTATTTTTAACAAAAATAACAATGTTCACAATGAATAATGAACATCAAATATTTGCTTTGTTAAACTGCAGAGCTGGCATCGAAGCAAGTCAGAGTAAACTCTGTCTGGTATGTGACATGGAGCATATGTTTTGTTTTTTTAAAAGGAATTGCCTGATTCAGTTTTCTTGTTTTATCTTTTCAGTCCTGGAGTGATCATCACAGACATCCACAGGAGAGCTGGGCTGGATGAGGAGCAGTATGCCCAGGTATAAAGAAAGACTATCATATAAGTTAAAGCCCATTTTTTATATGAGGGACTTTCAAACCAGACAAAAACGAATCATGTCTTTGTCACGTGTTCCCTGATGTAGGATTATATGACAAAAAATGTAATGGCAAACACTGCCACGGTTAAAACTAATTAATTATACTGCGTTGATAAATAAATTGAAATGTTGTCTAAGCAAATAATGACTAACCTAAACAAAAACTTTTATTTTTTTTTATTCAAACTTAATTCCACAAAAATATAAAAATGGCAATGGCTGACATTGGTACGTTTAATTAGATTAAGACTAGTGATGGAGCATTTGTTTATTGATCTCACAGTGGAGAAATATACTTGTTACATCAGCTCAAATAGTCAAAGGAGAAGAAGAATATGACAAAGGAAGAAAAAGGTACATGAGATATATACAGTATATACAGTGTCCACATATGACAATTTTTATTTTTTTTTTGTATGATTATTATACATTTATTTATAGAGAGAGAGAGAGAAGGTTATTGCACAGTTTATTAAATAGTAATTACACATTATGCATTGCACAGGTTATTGCCGTTGTAGAGGCTGGTTGCAGCAGGGATGAATGACTTGCTGTAGCGCTCCTTTTCACAAACAGGGGGTAAATGTCTTTCATTAAAGGAGCTGCTCAGCTCCTCTACATTGTTTTGCAGAGGGTGGAAGGTGTTGTCCATGATGGATGTAAGCTTGGACAGCACCCTCCTCTCAGCCACTGAGTCCAGAGTGCAGCCTAGGACAGAAACAGCCTTTCTCACCAGTTTGTTCAGTTTCTTTCTGTACCGCTCTGTGCTGCCAGAAGCCCAGCAGACAACAGTGTAGAGGAGGGCTGATGCCACCACAGTGTCACAGAAGGTTTTAAGCAGGGGCCTGCTCACTCCAAAGGACCTCAGCCTCCTCAGTAGCTGGGACAGGCTCTGGCCCTTCTTATACAGGGCGTCGGTGTTATGAGTCCAGTCCAGTGTTTAATTGATATGAACACCCAGGTAGTTGAAACTCTCCACAGTTTCTGTCCTGCCCCTGGATGGTCATGAAAGGAGTGAGGTGGGGGCCCTCTCCTGAAATCCATCACCATCTCTTTGGTCTTTCTTGCGTATATTAACAGATATACAAAGAACAGAGTAGACATAGGATTTTAGTGCCGTGTTAAAACATTCATATCCATCATTTCTCACCAAAGAAGTGCAAGAATGTCTTCTACTAATGTCTTCGAAAAGCTTAAACAAAACATATTTGTTTTAATAAACAGTGTGCAGGGTTATCGGTGCATAGGAACTTTGGAATGAAAATGGGTAAAAAGAAATGAAGCATTTTGTATCCGTGGCATGTTTTATCCATTGGTTAGTGTTGTGTGCTGTATTTTATTTCATTTATGCTAATAGAAATTATGAGGAAGAAAAGACATTGCAATCTGAGAGGATTCTATTGTTTATTTGTTTTTGCCACTGGTGCCACGACAAAGGCACCCACAGATAAATTCGGCTATATTGCTTCGCCACAGTAAACGCTTTATGATTATGATGCTGATGGTTCCGAAAGTATTTTCTTTTTATATATATGAACTTTATTAGTTGTATTTCATAACAAATACCAAGAACACACTTCTTACATGTAATCCTCATTCCTGTTCACTTTCCATTGGCAGTTTATTGCGAAGTGCAAACAGACGCACGCCCTCGGTCGGCCAGGGGAGGTGGAAGAGGTGGCGCAGAGCATTGCCTTCCTGGCATCCGATGCAGCCAGCTATATCACCGGGGTGAATCTACCTGTCGACGGGGGCCGCCATGCAATGTGCCCTAGATGAAAGATGTTAACATGGAAAACTCTGAAAATAAGAGATTTTTAAAATCAAGTGTCTCTGTGTTTGATTTTTTTTTTTTCAAATTTACTGCAGATAATCGAAGACTGTCCCTGGAAGCATGTCTTCTACACAAAGGCTAATATTCCACTAGAAATGACAACTAAAATAGTCATTTACAGTAATGTAATTCCTGCTACTAATGTTAAAAAAACAGGGATATCGAAATGTTATAAAGGTTAGTTATGTAATATGTTACAAGTAAGGACATTTAGACAATATATTTTAACATCAGTACATGACTGGCTGTTGATTACATTATAGATGTAGCATTAAAAATGTCCTGAAATAACTTGATAAATAAAGGTATAAAGGTTCTATTTTAGAATAGGACTATATTTCCTGAAAATTAATACATTTATCAGTAGTTATCTAATCAAAAATATGCATACCCCATAGTACACCACCCACTAATACTGATTTTTAGAAATTCTAGGCAAATTGTTCACTATATAAATTTAAATGTTAAATAGACTGAATCAATAAAGCCCTTTTCTTGAGAAACTGACCATTCCAGACATTTTACAGTGCAAGGTTTAGATTTAACAATGTTTTTTTTTTTTTTACCAATAAGTCGGTTTGTGTTAGGAAGTGAGACGAAATTATATGAAAAGATTGGGGAATATGCAGAATGTGTATAGTATTTAAAACAAAATCATGTTATTTAAAAAATGGTTATACCTTCATTATTTAGTGGGAAATGACTTAAAATTAGCACAAACTCTACCTACCTGACCAGCATCATGCATGTTTTCACTGTTCTTATGAGGGTTTATCTTTGCTGATGAGCTTCAAGTTGCTCAGGTTGAAGATGTTCTTGCCACATCCCAATGTTCAAGTCAGAACTCTCAGTAGTGAATTACAGAACTTTATTACTCTCCATCAGGAAAAAAAAATACGTTGGTATAATTAAGAGAATACCTTATTTTACCATAGTTATGAGGAATTTTGTCTTTAATAATATATGACTTATTGGAATGTAAAATAATTTAGGAACAAACATCTTTGATACAGTTATATTACCATTGTTGGCAATTTTTTTTTTTTCCATTTACATTGCTGCACTGATTGAAGTATTTGACTTTACTAAGCTTAAAAAAGCCCAAAGTAATATTCTGTTGGTTCAAGGACACAAATAACACTTCAAGAATTCTGTGATTTATTTTTTTTCCTACAACCAGAGACTGACCGGTTTCTAATTTAATATTTATAATCTAGATCTGGGAATTCACCATTTAAAAGCACAAACAGCTACTTCTGATACTACCCAACCCCCCTCTTTTCAAAAAGTTTTGCAGCAGGAAAAGAAAACTATATGTTTGGATTTTTTTAACTAAAGTCAGACGATACATATTTTCTGCATGTTGATATGCATCTGGTTCATTCAGGGGGCTAGAGAATAAGAAAACAAAACTTTAAAAAAACAGATCTAAGCACAGTAATGTAGATGTATTTTATTCAGTCATGAGACATTCCATGTATGCAATTTAAAAGCTAAGGTGAGGTTACAATTTCTCTGAGGGAGTGTTTTAAACCCTGGTTCCCAAAGAATACTACCCTGGATGTTTCAGATGTGCCTTAAGGAATTGGCCACATTATCTCAGTATTATTATTAGATAGAAATAGACAATTTCACAGGGGAGATAAAGCCACTAGTAAATGGTAGTACAGAGCAGAGATGCATTTTATTTGTCCGTTAAATGTTAGAGGTACTTGTAAACAGTTTCAGGCTTTTATTGAATAATCTGTTTTGTCATTATGACTTTATTCAGTATTAAAAAGCTTGGTCAAACACATTGTGTCACATTAGAAGTCGTCTGAGTTTACACATTGGGGAAACCAATCACAATTGTTAAAATAGCCTTTAAATCACAGCTGCCTCTAAGGCGCAGAGTTAATATTTTAAAAAGTCTTGAATAGAAATCACTGATGTATAAATGGTTGCTGATAATACATTTACAGATTGACAAGAAAAAAAATATTAGAACCATAGAAATAATCCTTAAACTGTTGTTTTTGTATTTTTTAAAAGCTTCCCTTTAAAGGCATAGGTATAGCTAGGATAAGAGCTGACAAGGGTTTTTCCCCAGACTGCCAACTGCCACGACACCAGGCGTCACCTTTGTGTCGTCCCAAATTAGATCAAGTCACGGCTCCGTTTCACTCTGAGATGAGAGGTGCGAAGCGAGGTAGCACCGTTGATGTCTTTGCTCCAGGTTTGCACTGAAAGTTTCAAGCAAGACTTGCCCGCATGGAGAGATTTGCACAGACTAATTTCTGTGCTTTTAATTAAAGCAGAAACAGAAATATCTGGAGCAATCCCGCATACCTGAATGGATGAGATGTCTTTATCCCTAAAGGCAACACAATATAACAAATGCACTTCAAGACACAATATACAGTACATTTACAAATTTAAATAATATTTAATTCCAGGATAATTTCATTTTCATATTTCTGTACATATTTTTGCAGAACTGTTTCTCAAACCATAAATGAAAATATACAACAAGATCTAAGAGATCCAAAGGAAGCAGCCAGCTCTTGTATCGCATGTGTTTTTTTCAGTTCCTTGACAAAGGCCACAGGTCTTATCTAAATTAGCTGTTTTTTTGCTGCATCTGCTGTTGTTTTTGTTGGGCTTTGTTTTTGCAGTCCAAGCATTTTTCATACTAAGAATGGAGAGTTGTTTTTTTTGGAAGTTTGAAAATCATTGATGTTTTCTCTGCGCCCTTTAATGCAGTTGATCCTTTGAGGACTAGTCCAAGTCAGCCCTACAAGAAGCACACAGGTCCGACCTCGAGGTGAATTTTTGCACTGGGCTCTGCGGTTGGTAAATTGTGCACATCTATGATGGGAAGCAAAGTTGGGTCCTGGCTCTGGAAGAGGAAGTGTGTCTGATGCCAGTGTCCATCTTTGATCTGCAAGACATAAGTACAATATGACACATGATGCAGAGGACATAAGATCATAAATTAACCTAAGCTGAGTTTATGTACAGTAAATGTTATTCATTAATTTTTTTATAAAAGCTGCTAAGCCATTAAAAGTTTACCAGGCACTTTGGATAACTGGAAAGTGATTGGGTCCCCATATTGGTATTCAGACAAGATGAAATGAGCCACTTGTAATTGGTGTATAGTTTCTGGAGAACGTAAGCTGAAAACAGCTCCTTCCTCGCTTTACTGTATCTGGGAGTGATGTTCTGTAGAGTCAGACATTTTTAGGACAAACTGTGGCTTCTTCATGCACAGAAGATTTGTGACTTTACCCACCAAAGGTTAATGTGTTTACACTGCTGTGCTGTGTTTTGGCCATTATGCACCTAGGTGCCTATTCAGTTGCTCCATATAAATAGAGAAGCAACTAATCACAGATTAAGAGATAATAAAGAAAAATAGCTTCAGTTCAAACCAAGCTTCAGAATGGGGAGAAGAAAATGCATTAAATTAACTACAAATGTGGCAGGATTGCAAGAACCATAAAGGTTACTCTGAGTGTTCCAGAAAAAAGAAAATATTGGTCTTAAAAAGAAAAGACATCCTGATTAAAAGATAATAAAGAAAAATAGCTTTAGTTCGAACCAAGCTTCAGAATAGGGGGGGAGAAAAAAAGATTAAATTAACTACAAATGTAGAAAAATTGCAAGAACCACAAAGGTTACTCTGATTGTTCAAGAAAAAAGAAAATATTGGTCTTAAAAAGAAAAGACATCCAGTGAGTGGTGACTGTTTGGACAATGGTTTGCCTCATTGGGATCATAAGAGGATAGGCAAAATGCTCCAGGTTGATAAAAGGACAACAGCAACTTCAATTCCATTGTTACAACCAAGGTTTACAGAGTAGAGTAGGGCTTTGAACATAGCATGTCAAATCTTGTAAGAGTGACTGCAGCTAAAGAGCCAATCAGGAGCCTCTCCAGTCGACTGAATACAAAAAACTCCGCTACGATTTGAAAAAGCTAACAAAAGTTGAAGGACAGCTTTCTGATTGGATATGTTGCTTTTTTCAGCACTATTATTCTGTTATTATTAAGGCAGAGTCTTAAACTACAGTTTCAAATTTAAGGAGAAAAGGACATGCATTGGAAAAAATCGAAATCTAGATAAGTCAGTTTTTGTGCATTTGTTCTTGGATTGAGGAGGTAAAAGAGACATTTTGCCAATGGAACAAGACAATTTACACTTAAACTAAGAACACACAATTGCATTGTCTTATTTCAAGAGCATATTATCTAAATATCTTATCTTAAGAGTAAAAATACCCATTCCATTAGCAAACTATCTCAATTAATGGTAAATACACTTAATTTACTTATTTCTAGATTGTTTTTCCAATGTGTAAGCTATTGTTGGTGTTTGGGGAACATTTTAGCCCCACAATTTTGGCCTATTAGTCTTTCTTGACAGAACATCTATTAAATTCCCCAGCCTTTGAGAATTTTATTCCTAAACATGTCAATTTTCTATGTCCCTTCTTCTGTTGGCCACTTCTTGCAGCATAGTGCGGCATCTCCAACACCTTCTTGATCGAGTTTGTCTCTTTCAGACATTCAGCTAAAATTAATATTTTTTCTGCCCATCCCTTTAAAATAGCTGTAAAAGGTGTATTTACAAGAAAACATGGAAACATGTTTAATTAAAAAAACAACAACAAAACACTCTGTAAAGAATTGCATTATCAAATGTATTATACTTTATGTGGTGAAGAAGCAGTGCATATGAATCCCATAAATGCTTGGAAACCCAGAAATCTCTGAACAGATGTTGCTTGAAATGTAAAATTGTGAGATATAATTATGGCTTTCACTGATACCTGCAGTCCTGTGGATATTTTTTTTTTTCATATTTTTAATTTTCATCTTGTGAATATGTGACTTAGAAGCAACACAATATACTCTGGGTGTTTTTGTTTGTGTGTGGGGGAGGGTAATTTAATTGAATTAAACAGTAAAATACTCAATTCTGATTTCTTCATAATATTTTTGGAGCTTTTCTGTCTGCAAAAGTTATAAAATATAATTAAACAAAACCTAAACTATTCAAGACTAAAGCAACAAAAAATACTTTACAAGCTTTTCAATCCCAGTCTGGATTAAAACTCCCATCTCAACCAAAGGAGAAGGATTACGCTACAAAAACTGTGATCAAACATTTAAGTTGTATGGAAACATTTTAATGTTAAATATCTGGCAGTTAAAAATGAAATGCAGCACAAAGAACAAGTTATTATTCTGTTAAATAAACCATCTGTGGCTGGCATTTTATTGAGATGAATTATAAATCTTGCAAAAAGGGTGATGCTAAAAAATCTTTGAATCCACATTAAAAATGTATCTAATCCAGTGGAGCATAATGTGCATTTTCTCTCAAACATCTACAGATGTCTGCAGTAAATGTTTTGCCAGTTGTTACGCACTTCTTTTGTCTGATTTCAGCTCAAAGGTGTGACAAACTCAGGACAACTTTAAGAAGTTATCCTGGTCCAGAGTTACATGTGGTATAAAGTCAGGATAACAGCTATTCTGCTTTTTATAATAAAACCTCAGGTTATCCAAGGATTTACCACAGAGATTATTTTGAGTTCTCACTCATCCGGCTTTCTGAAACATCTGGAAGAAAGCTGCAGAAATGCATTTAGCTTGATTACTTAGACCTTTGTCGACATAACCGCACCAGGAGAGCTTGCTTTGGCCTTTGTAGTGGATGATGCCAGGACGCACTTATCATGCTAAGATAATCCTGGCTTTATGTCTTATCCTGGATTACTGAATTCAGCTTTGATGAAATAGAACTCAGAACTCAACCCAACATTTCTTTTGTGACTATATGGAACAGGTGATTACTAATGGAGCTGCCTGTAGCTGACAGATCTGCAGCATGAAGCAATATGGCAGGCTGTAATTGAAATGCAAATGGACATCCAAACAAGATACCTAAAAAAGTAGCCAGTGTGTTTAATTCTGTCAATAGAGACCTTTTATCAGTAAACATGCATATTATGTTAATTGTTTCTGTGCCTCCATCTGTCAATGTTTTGCAAATATTGCTGTAGCGAGGGTATGAGTTTGGCTTAGCAGCTACAGAGGAGAAGCTGCAGCTAAATGCATCCTGTCACTTCTAATCGCCAGCTATCAAACAGGTAGCTATAGCTGAAACAACAGTGCAGATGACTTGTGTCAGCTTTTAATGAAGAAGAACACTTTTATATGACAATAAGTGAATAAGTCTTAATGTGGAAGTTTTTAATTAAGATTTCCCTCATTTTGCTTCTTGTCATCAAAAGCAGAGGAACATTTAAAGCAAGGCTTGCACTGGGTATACCTTCACATACAGGTTATCTGAGCAAGTGATAGAATAGCTAACTGATGTAAATAGGGTAATTAAGGCTTGGTTATAAAACATGATGACATGGTCAGTTTTCTAAGTGTACTATTATCTAATTATGTGTACTTTCAAAGGTATTATTTTAAAAGAAATATGGAAAAAACATAAACTGTTTAATGCTATGAATATTAAAGCCACTTTAGTTCATAATACTTGGTTGTTGAGCTTTGATAATAAATATATTGTGTTTTAACCCATGTGTACTGAATGTAGAGCAATAAGATACTGAAAAAAGTAAACATTGGAAGTATTTAGACAAAATACCATTGGACTTTAGGAGAAAAAAAGTTTTAAAGGTCTTTGGACTTTTATTCTTACTGGTAGTTGAAAGATATTAGTATGACTTTAAAGTCATGATTTTAAGTCAAATGAAAGAAAATAAATGATTTTAAAATTGTGAAATATTTTCCTGTGGCTGTGTCCGAACATCTGCTCTAACCCCTAGATCCCTCAATCACTATATAGAGCGGGGACTATATAGTGGACTTTATAGTGAACTCACTTAACTGATCGTTCGCACAGATGACCACTACATTTCGCTCTCCGTTGGTTATGTGACTATGCCTCCCCGCGCGGTGCCTGCAACATCTTTGTTATTTGTAGCCACTGTACGGTAGCGAGAGCCTATGGTTACAACATGCCGCTGTGCCAACAGATCCCATAATGCTTTGCTAGGAAAGCTCTCCCTGCAAAGCATTCTGGGATATATCTGCTGGTCTAGTGACCGTGGTCGAGCACTACTTTTCGCTCCCCGTTGGTCAAATAACTGTGCCTGTGCCATCTTTGTTATTTATTGCTGCCAGAACAAATCCCATTATGCTTTGCGTGGAGAGCTCTAACAAAGCATTCTGGGATACATCTTATGGTCTAGTGACCATAGATGATCACTACTTACAAGGTGCATTGTGGGACATTTCGAGTCCACTACCTTCTCATCCACTAGACATTTGGACTAGGGCTGGGTAAGAAAATTGATTTAATCGATTTTGGATCGGTTCCTTTACATTTTTGCAAAATCGATGTCGAGGGAATGAGATCAATTAGGTTTATAGTGACTGGAGTGACGTTCACATTCAAATGAGTAGGAAAGATGCACTCAAGATGACTTCAAGCCAGAGACCTGAAAATATAGCCAATAGGTTGACTGAAGACATTAAGAAATGGGGGCTGACCAGCAAACACCCTGTAATTTGTTTCAGACAACGCAATGGAGATAATGCAGCTCACACATCTGCTGTGTCCCTACTGTGTCACGTCTGCTTGTTCGAGTGAGGCTTCACTTTTTCACTTTTCACACATACTTTTTCACTTTTGAGGCAGTTTTGTTCACATCTCAAGTTTAAACTATTTGATTTACAAGTTTGCACTTGGTGTTTAATATGACAGTAAAATATAAAATACATGAGCATTTTGAAACACAGATGAACCATTTTCATTATTGTGAAAACAGATCTAATCGAAATTAATCAATTTAGAACTTTATGAATCAAAATCAAATCGATTCAGGAAATTGGCGAAAATATCCAGCCCTAATTTGGACACTGATCTATGGCGTAACCACTGATTAGGGCGGACATTTGGAAACAGCCTGTGTTTGTGTGTTAAAGTTCAACATTTTCACTCTCTCTGCAGTTCATTGTTGAAATAAGGGTTCCTCTGTGACGCAGTGGTTTTAGTGCGTCTTTGAATCTTGTATTTGTTTTGTATCTGGAAGAACAATATCATAAATAAAATATAATAATATAAAATATAATAAAATATGATATTTATATTGATTTTCTGTGTTGACCCCTGATTAAGAAAGCAACCAAAAGGGCAATTTTACTCACAGTTTTTAGTGAAGAATGGGATACAGTTGCTCCCATTCCAAACTCAGTGATTTTCCCTTTTGCTTCTTAAACACATCATCTTCACAGTCCCCCTAATATAGTCTTTTCATGTAGAAAAGGCACCAAAATAAAAAAAAGCTAAATTGAAACTCTGTAAGCAGGTCCAAATGAACAGACCCCTGGTACATCTTTGTGTTTTGATGATTGCAATAAAACAATTATTGTGCAGACTTCTGTACCAAAGGAATAACATCCTGTAAACAAAGGTGATTGCATTGCAAACTTGCCAAGAATCTCTTGTTTTTCTGTCTAGACATCAACACCGCAAACAAGAATTAATGAAAATCTTTACCCAGAAGGGAGCTTTCCAAAAGGTTTGCTTTCGGTGAAGATGAAAGGCAAAAGCAGGTTCAAAATTACCTTAAAATATGTGCAGGTAAAGCCTACAAAAGTACATCATATATATGACTTGGTGTGAATTCTTCGAAACTAAAGGTTAAAAGAAATTAATTTAAATTGTTATCAGGAGTGTAAACTAAAATCAACTGATTAAAGATCTTTTGTTTCTCATCACACAATTTAGGGAACAGTTTAATATTCTGTACACAAAGCATGTCTGAAGAAAAAAGATGAAATATTACTGTAGGGATTTGAGGGACCTTGTTAAATGTAAAAACATCTCCATTACTTTAGCCACTGTTATGCAATAAGATCAAAAGGGAAAAAACAAAAGTGCTTGTTTGTAAGAAGGCCTCAGGCTGATTTATGCAGAGAAAAAGTATAGGGAAAATTTGCCATAGTGGTTTTCATGAAACAGTATGAGAACACAAAGGTCGTCCATTTGGCTTGTATTTGAGCTGCTAAGACCCTGGATATGTGAGCCTAAAAGAGATCTGAGTTCATTACATTGTTCCTGGGAATCTGCGCATAGCATGTTAATAAAAAGGCCATACCCAACAGTCGTCTCTGGTTATCAGAGGCTCCAGAAGATCTCCAGGTTTGATCTGCTCCCCAGACCAGGCCTTGAAGCTAACAGAGCTGGATGAGGGCTGCTGGGTGGGTCCATGGGCCCACACGGAGACATTGAGGCAGTGAATGATGATGTGCTGCACAGCCTCAGTGCTCAGTAGGTGGATGAAGTTCATCTGAATGCGACCCACTCCAACTTCCAACTACAGACAAAACATCAGACCGGGTAAAGATGGGTTGAAACACTCAGACTGAAAAGGCTTACTTTACAACAATTTAAATAATGTCTTGTCATGAACACGGAAATTGGGAGAAAAATACTTTTCAGTTTCATTTATGACATTAAGTGCTTTGTTTTTTATTGTCGTCTTTTTACTCTTTAGTCAAACACCTCTAAATAAAACTCAGCTGCAACTAATCCTCTTTATAAATGACCTGTTGAATATACACTGAACAAAACTATCCATTTAAGGTTTATCAGAATGCTTTGAAGGGACACACCAACTATGTGAATTAAGGTTTATCAACTTTTAACACACATCTACGTCACACAATCTGCTTTACAAAGAAATACTGCCATCATTTTCTCTTTCTGCTTGAAATATGTTGGCCTTTGTGCAATCCAGACATTTTCCCCAGTGAAGTTATTTTGTCTTGACAAGAAAATAACTCCAACAGATGAAGGACAGATAAAGAGATTTTCTTGCCAGATGACAGTGCTTCTGATTGCATCCAAATCTGTAGGCCTAATTTAGTATCTTGAGATTTATTGTTATAGAAGGCCATCCAAACTGTGCTAAAGGCATGACTAAAAGCGAAAAAATAAACAGCTGTTTTTCACATGTGATATTTACACTTTCAAAGTTAAGGAAACCCCATTTGATATTTAATTGAGGCAAGTGTGATTTCTGTTATGCATTTGTTGATCTACTTGTGCCCTCACCAGAGGAGATAAATTTTCATCACAACATCTACAAATTTTTCAAGCCTTTCTTAGCATCCTTACCTTTAATTTAAAAGAATAATACAGTAGAATTATAATTGTAATAGAGCTAAACTAAACAGTGTATAGTTTTGAATTAGAATGACATTGATAATTATTTTGGACAACTCTGTGAGGATAAACATCTACAATCTGCATCATTCATTTTTATTAAGCCTCTCTGGATCAATACTTTCTAGAGGCAGTTTTGCAGCAATTACAGCTGCATGTGTTTTTGGGTATGTCTCAACCAGCTTTGCATATGATGTTATTGTTTCCCTTCATTTTTCTTTCAAAATAACTCAACTTATTCCGATTAGATGGATTCCATCATTAAACAAATCATTAAAAATGTATTTTGATCTGGTTTTTTGACTACACTTTTGTCTAAAATACTCCAGTGTAACTCAGGTTCTATGTTTAGGACAGCTGTCCTGCTTGTAGTTGAACCTCTCCCCCAGCTCCATGTCTTTTGCAACCCTTTTCAGATTTTCCCTTCCAATAATACCATGCATCTACCTCCCTCCATATTTCGATAAGCCTTTTTTAGTGTCCCTGTATCCCCAAATAAAGGCAGCAAACAGCATTACGGTCGAACCATGTGTTGATGGTGATGTGGAATGTGAGTTTTTCCACAACATATAAAGTTTTTTCAGGCGAATGCTTAAATGATGATCTTAGTCATGCCCCCAACATGGTTTGTAGCATTTTATCGCTTTATTTTTTCCAACATTTGCTTTTTTCTTACAATTGCATCATAAAAGTTAAATTTTTAGAGTGCAGAACAATCTCTTGTCCTTTTAACACACTATCCCCCAGGAGGCACGGATCTTCATGCACCCCTAGAGTTACCACAGGACTGCTTCTATGATGATGCTCTCCTTGCAGTATTGAACAAACCTTGGCCTTTAGACAGATTAAACAATCACAGATGTCAAATTCATTGGCAGACTGCTGAAAGTAATAGGTTGCAGTTTTACAAGGAGATGTAAAACTAAAAGGGGCTGAAAGAAACAAATGCATGCCTCACTTTTCCAATCTTTAGCTAATAAAAATGATAAATACATATATATATAAATATTGTATTGATTCATCTCATAAAAATCTAACAAAATATGCAGATAATTGTCAACATAAAGAAATAACAAAAAGAAAACACAGGGCAATGAGACGTTAGCAGAGCCCTGTGACTGTGTTTAAGGGAAGCGAACAGAAATCCAAACCTTTGAAATTGTGACAGGTTTTAGACAGGTTTGTCCACCACCAGTGAAGTTACACATCACTTCAATGCTGTCTGCACTGCAGCCGAGGTTTGGATCAATCCAGTAAGCTCCTGCAGAAAAAAAGGAAAGCCAAGAGAAACATTTTTAGACTTCCTGACATAGAACACGTTCATACCAAGAGTTTAACGGCTCCTCACCGTCGTACATCTGCTGCTCACAGTTGTAGAGGTCAAGGCAGGTTCGGGCTGGATGGTGCTGGGTTCCCAGCGGGTTCCTCAAGCTGTGGACCAGCGTGCTGAGGTGATGAAGTGTCTTCAGAATCTCTGAGCCTTTGTCTAACATGGGCAAGTCCACGCTTTGATAATTCTGGTGCTGATGTGAATATTTGATCAGATTAAGTTCAAAAGGTTCGAGCGTTTACAATATAAGAAAATCGTGTTGAGCTATGGTTTCTAGTTAACCTCAATACTGACATCTTGCTGTAGAACTGTGGGTGAATCCATGATGACTTCCAAAACAGCACCAAGAGCTTCATTTCTCTGCAGCCAGAAGACTTTTTAGTTCACTTTTTTCAGCAAAATAACCTAAATTATTATCTGAGTAGAAACAAACTTACTAGCAAAAGCTCAGGACTTGGAAGGCCCTTCAAACAAGCAAAAACAAACCAGCAATTATTATTACAGCAGTCTCAACCCTATCTGACTATTTTCTAGGCTTTTCAAGCATCATTTTATAACTAATAGTCCTAATCTGTTGGCTGTGTTGCTCTGTTCACACTAAATATGCAGATAAGAAGAGACAAATGAACGACACACAGGAAATGATTCATGAATTGAAAATAAATTATCCATAACTCCAGAGAAGAAAAGCAGCCAGATATAATATAGTGTAGCTGATCAGATCTTAAAAGAACAAAAGCCAGCCTGAAAAGAAAGATTATCTGCTCAAACGTGTTTGCAGTTAAGCTCTTGCATTATTCTTCCTTTAATGGTTTCCCACCAAAACTGAGTCTGAAATGGTAAATATTCCCACATATGATTTCAAAAAACATCTAGCATTAAGAATTATCTGAATTTTAAAAATTTGTGTAAGATCATTGCATACTGGTACAGCCATGATCCGAACAGGGTCAGGCTGGGACTTTCTATCAAGTAGCACAAAAAGTGTTATATTATTGGGCTTGAACAGCAAAAGGAGAGCAAAGAGCTGGTTTATCATATAAAATCCAAATAAGATACATAAAAGATAAACAAAAGTTGACTAAGTTTAAGGTGTTAATCATTTCTGAAAAGCCAAATCCTCAACTTATAATACATGAAATAAATCAAATAATAGAGAAGATGTCACAAAATTATTGTTTTCTTTCTGGAACATAATAAACCCCTGCACTTAAACCTAATAATGCACCTATTCATTCAATAACTGAAGGAATTCCTGCTGTGCCTTGGCTTTATCTGAGGGTGAACTAGCCTTTTAATTCATGCTATCATGAAAAGCCACCTACAGAGCAATAAATGCAGAGGTGAAACAAAATACCCTCTTGTTCTTAGTGGAGCTCAAAAGGGACAAACATCCATTTTGTGGGTTTACTAATCAAAGGAAAATTGATACATTTTTTCCATTTAACAAAGTATCACTATTATTCCTACATTAGTAGATTCACTCATAACCCCCAGCAAATCAGTCTATTTGAGCTCCAAATCTTACTGTTTTATCATAACTAAAAAAACTAAGTCATCTAAGCACCTCAGAATAAGTAATGAATTAACTACTGCACAACATTTATAAGTGGATAATCATCCATATTAAACCAGTATAGTGAAAAAGTTATTGAATCTTCAAGCGAACAGATAATTGACTAAAAAAATGTTGAATAAGAGAGCTAAAAGTTTATCATAAAGGGCTGTGTTAACAGATTTCTTTTTAATCCATTGGACAAATTGCAGGAGCATTGTTTGTGACGGCAAGTGAATCATTTTCCAAAAGGAAGACACATTAATATTCAAGTATATCAACCAGATAAATTTTTTTTTTAAAGGAGATACTGAGATGAACCAGAAAGATGAGAATACATTGGCGTTGCGATCACTCGGAGCATCCCTAATATACCACGAATACATTTTGATTATATTGCAAACAACAGAAGAATCTGAATAAATTCTAAAAAAGATATTGTCTGATTGAGGCAACTGTTTTTCAATAAGGGGTTGTTCTTCTTTAGAGTATGATCCAACCCTGACTTTTGCAAAAATAGTTAAAGCTTAGTGAGAATGGATACAGAAACTCTTTAGACTGCAGTTTTTCGGTTCTGCTACAGATTCTGGACATTGATTGGTCCATTGATGTCCCTATCAACTCAGATCATCTTCCCTGCGTCTGTTAAAGAAAGTACCTCCACAGAATAGAACTGTCACATCAATGAACAAAACATACATTTTTAACTAGAACTTTAAAAAAGGTAGACTTTGCTCCTTGCTAACAACAAAACAAGAAAAAAAAAAAAAGGAATGTAGACATTGCCCCAACAGCTTCCTCCTGAGTGGCTTAAACTGCACTGCCTTGCTTCTTAAAAATACATCAAAAGCACCAAAAAAATAAAACAAGAGTGTGTGTTACAAACAGTCACAGAACAAGATTAGCAAACACCCAGGCCCAGGAAGAAGGAGCACAGTAGCACTTTATGATGACACACTTTAAAAGTTGTTGCTGACGAGGTGCAACACATATCCGCTGCCTCTTATGAAGACAGCCTCTAGACGTCAGTGACCGTAACACTGCAGCGGTAGCTTTGCTGCACATGTAGCTGTTTACTGGCATGTAGATCTAAAGAGCACATTTTGCAAAATATTTTATGTGCTCTCTCTATAGCTTTTGGGTAAATCTTTTTTAGTAAATGCAGGATTTCCTCTCCCTTTTCCTAGAGGCCATATCTGCGCCATGGAGAACTCACAGAACTCACAGATGTCCTGTTAACACATTGTCCTGGCTGACATGTGGATATCTTCTGCTTTCCTAGAGTTAACATGGGCATCTCTGTTTGCTCTGATTAATGATCACTTTGCTCAGTCTGTTAGTTTAGGTGGACAGCTGTGCTTTGGTAGATTTGCAGCTTTGCCACTCTTTCCATTTTCAGATGATGGATGGAACATTTCTCTGCAAAAGCTGGAGATATTTTTTATAACCTAACCCTGCTTTAAAGCATCTTCCACAACAGCTGTGTTCTTACTGGGATATAATTACCGCCTCATAAACTCTTATAATTGAATCAGTTCTGAAAACAGCTGTAGTACACCGGAGTTTTTTTTTCAGATATCAGAGTAAACAGGGCTCAGATTTTATTTGAAATTTGTCAAATGTGAAAAAGTCCTATGGGAATAAATGATTTTTGCAAGGCAGTACAGGCAAAGTTTTTCATATATGAAATATAAAACAAAACAAAATACTCACTGGTGGCCCAGGCAATCCTCGAGGACCAGGAGATCCCTAAAAATGGATATAAAGAAATTAAAATACAAACAGTTCACAAAATATGGATTTAACATAAAAACATGTTTAAGGGTTTTTGTTTTCATATAGATGTTTAAAAGACTTACATTTGGCCCTTGCAAGCCCTTTAAGAAATAAAAGAAAATAGGTTCAATTCAAAATCAGAGAAAAGAAAAACTTTGTTAAAACTTAAAATCTACATAGTTTCTGCGCCAAACTAACATCTTCATCTGGTTTATTTTCCCCCGTTGTGAGTTATTACTTAAAAATCTTATTCCACTAAGCAAATCCAATTTTCAGTCTGTAGTCTCGAACATGAACATAGGCATTTTCAGAGAGCGGGTGTAATTTATGCTGTGTGCGAGCGCTCAACAAACCTCTTAAAAATCTCTCAGACGTGCAAGCGGCCAACATTTATCACACTGACAGGATTTCCACAGCAGCTAAGTGTCACTGCGAGTGTTACAACAAACAGCGCAACACAATAGGAAATGAAAAGTGCTGAGGGGCAGAAGGAGGCTGAGTGGTGCGCTCTCTCCTTGCTAAGTATCCTATTCTGTGCTCACAGTACAGACAGACAGGGATTCATCAAAACAGCGCCACGCACCGTCTCCCCGCGACTTCCTTTGTCACCCTGGGGCCCCTGATGAAGAGAAAGAAGACAGACTATCACTCCATCACTGCCAACAAACCAGAGAGAAGTCACATAAAGCTTGGCACGCAAGATGAGAGATGAGGTACATACTGGATGACCGCTGGGCCCAATGATGCCAAGGGGGCCCAAGGCTCCAACCGCACCCTGAAAATCAGAGGCATGTAAGTGACTAAGGACACATGTGATGAAGCTTCTGATGAGGCTGCACTTATTTTTCATGCCAAATGTGCAGTTTGGGAGAGTTCAATGCCCCAGAGTTGGCTGAAATACTGCAATGAGTTGGCACACCACTATTTATTATCATCTTACCATCAATCCTCGTGGTCCTTTTGGTCCCTGTATTCCTGCTGGGCCCATTTCCCCTAGGGGCCCCTGGAAACACATCAACAAACCTTAATGTAACGCAGACCCAAGTTAAAGAATAGATTCTGTGCAAAGCTAAAATAAAACTTAGTGAAGCAAAGGGTATTTTGAGTTTATCAGATGTGATCAGATGTGTACCATGACTCAGAGAATCTTCTCTTCCTCTAAAAATGGCCTTGAATGACCTAAGAGTTAGTTAAAGCAAAGTATTTTCTACATTGATGGCAGCAAATTATCTTTAAAAATTAGGAGTCTTGATCTTGGTAGGCTGTTATGTATGCACATGTGATGTAACTTTGCATAACAGCACATGTGTATACAAGCTTCCCCTTAGATTTAGCTTAAGCAAAGAGTTTATAAGGTAACAATCATATTTATCTAACTATTATATGAAAGTGAATTCTGTTTTATTTAGTGAAGGAATAACATGCTTAAGTTTAGATGCTGATGACGCTCATGATAAAGTCAAATCTCTAAAAGGACTATTTAGTTTTGTATTAGATACTGTAGATTTTGAACCTGGGAAAAAGGGACCCAGGTAAATAGCATGGGAGCTGAGAACATTAGAGAGTTGGACCTAAAGTGAGAGGATTCATTCTGTCTGCAGTCACTGCTGTCTACAGTCCAAAAAATTGACTGATCACAGAGGTAGTGCTGAGGATTAACTACAGCCTTCTTCCAAACTTTCTTCTTATGATAAAAGTTTAGTATCAAAATGTACAAAATACTTCAAAGTATCATCGACTGTGAGGTTTTACTTTTAATTACTATTGTTTTGAGTGATTATTTTCTGGTATATCATTGTTTCTTTAGTCATGTCTTTGTAGGTTACATTTAGTGATTGAATTCTGTTAGTTTATATTTGTTTAACACAGCTTCCATTGAAGGTAATGCACTGCAAGTACGCATCGTTTTGCTGAAGCTAAAATTCATTGTTCACTGTATTGGTCATTAGTTTAAGGTTTTTAAAACTTAAATGATATGTTAATTCTTGTTTTGATTTTAAATTAGATATATATGCTTAAATCTCCTTTTTTTAGTGGTATAATCAACTTCTTGGAAAAGAAAAATATTTTCTCTTCACATTTAAGAGACAGTTAAGAGACTAATTTATAAATCATACTGTAACCCAGGACTGACTTTAATAAAAAAAATCTAAATAGCAAAGAGAACAGAGTAGATTTGAAAACTCTTGCAACACTGTTTAGAAAAACAGAGATAAGAAAAACATAATTGTTTTGCTTTTCCCAAAATAAAAGTTTTAATTTCCAGACAATAGAAATATTATGTGACCAAACACATTATACCAAATTGAGCCACTTTACTGTTACATATACTTTTCAAATGTTCAACTAAAAGTTGAAATATGGCTGGCTCCAAGCCTTCTGCTAGCATAACTTTACTGGATAAATAAAATGCATGTGATATTATTCTGATTTCCCTAAAGTAGTCCTACTTGATAGTTAGTGTGTCTGAGCTTAAACTATGACACAATTCACTTTATTTATATATTTTTTACAAATATGATTAAAATAAGTGTCAAATGAATCATCAAATCAAATTATTCCAGGTGCTTGAAAAAGAAGAAGGAGGAATAGAATCAGAACAAAAAAAAGAAACCAGATTAAGTTGTTTAAAGCTCAGTACACGCTGTGGGGTATCACTGAAAAAACGTAAAAAATATAGCAAACAATTAAGGGCCACAAAGAGACTAACCATTGTGACTTCTTACTGCCCCCCACATGCATTGAGGCTATAAACATGATTAAAATTCTTTAAAAAAAACATGTTGAAATATTTGCAGTCTTCTGATTCTAACATTTTTCAGCAATAATATGTGATATTCTTTTAAGGAAATTCATGAACATCTTTTAATGTTCTTAGTCATTGCAGGAGCTTTTTTGAGCCTTTGCACTTCAATGTAATTTACTGTTTTCTTTCTTACTAAAAGCTTTAGAGTTAAGTCAGCAGCTTAGCATCAACAGTAGTTGTTTCACAAAGAGCTCAATTACAAGGAAAATGTATGATGTCACTGTTAAATTAAAGACTTAGACTAACGAGCTCCAGGCAGATGTATCAGCTGGTCCTGATCTAACACTGGTGAAAATAAAGCAGACTCATAGCAGAACAGAGGCCACCTGGGGGACATTACACTGTAATAATATGCAGCTTGGAAATCTAATCCCCTAAAACACAAGATAATCTTCAGTACCTCCAGATGATTTTAGTAATTTAATCCTAACAAGCAGTACTTTAGCTGAATTCATGCATCATCATTGGGTATTCTATGGTGAGCCCTGCCTGCAGAGCGATGGTTTGAAAGGTAAAACTTGAGTGCTGAATCAAAAGTCCTTGGCAACTTACCTTCGGTCCAAATATACCAAGCACTCCAGGGAAACCCTGTTCTCCACTATCCCCCTGACAAAAAGAAATAGTGGTTACAAGACCATCGAAGGACTGTGTCCTATAAAGGAATTTGGCTTTCTAAAATTAAACCTATGCTAACTGGTTGGCCTTTAGTTCCAAGGTCTCCTGGTTTTCCCAGGAATCCCATCACACCAACAGAACCTCTCTTCCCTGCGGGACCCATCTGGCCTGGCAGACCCCGCTCCCCCTGAAACACAAACATCATCACTTTCCTTTACTGCAGTCTTTGCACACTTTCATAAACTAGTGTCAGTTAGCATTGCAACAAGCATATGGTTTATAATAAATTGTGTTAAATATGGCCCCTAAACAACACAAAAACATAACTGCTGAAAGTCCAGTCTCTCAAACTACTTTCCAAATTATTCAAGTTCCCACTTCAAATGTATCTTGGCATGAGGGAATAAAACAATCAAAGCCTCCTAATAAATTCAGCTCTTTATGTCCAAAATATGACATAAACCTAATTTCACTTCCAATCCTAGGAGTCAACAAGGGGGTGAAAATTGTTTATTACTGTAGAACTAATAAATGCAGCTTCTCTGTGTTTGTCAAACACCATGAATTTTGCATTTTATATAATACTGGCATGGCAAGGCAAATAAATACTGCCAACTATTTTGCTACCCTGATTACTGCTTTGAATGGAGGGATTGTAAGAGACGACATAATGGTTTGAAACATAGTCAGGCATAATAAAAAAGAAACATAAACAGGTTGTAAATGTTCAATATATGCAGAAGTGTAAGAGGGGGCAGTTACAACAGATTAAAGCTCACTGGCAGTTAATATAGTCAATAGTAAATTTGCCTCAGTTCTTAGATATAAAAGTTCTTGTGCTACAAGTTATCCTTCTTAGCACAGGCAAATAAAACAGGGAAAAACCTTTGCAAATGGTTCACAGAGCCTTCACACCTTTGAACCAAAGGATCCCTGTGTTCCTGGAAGTCCTGTCACCCCCTTTCCTCCTTGAAGACCAGGTTTTCCAGGTAAACCAGTTTCTCCATCCTCACCTTGATCCCCCTAAACTCAGAGAAAAGGTAGTTAGCAACAACAACAACAAAAAAAAGTGGACTTTTTCTTCTCTTTCATTTAACGGCGCATAGTCACATTAAATAATAATTTTTTAATTACACATGGTTGCATACCACTGTTTTACACATCTTGCTTCCTGTAAGCTTTGTTTTTCCCGAGTTCGTTATTACATTAAGACCTTTTGTGTATATTAATGATAAAAGCTACATGCTCTGTACTTATATAGTGCTTTTTTAAGTCAGGAGACTCCAACAATTTATGCACACACTAACACACTGATGCTACATATAGCCACAGCTGCCGTGGGACACATTGACAGAAGTAAGGCTGCCATACATAGGGGCCACCAGGCCCTCTGACCACCATCAGTAAGTAATGCAGGTGATGGCTGGTGCTGGGGCTGGAACCCATAATCCTCCAGTTGCAGGGAAAAATCCTACATGTTAGATTAGTTAGCACGTCCCAGAGAAGTTGTGAAAATAAGGAAGAAAAGTCAAAGATCCTGTGTGATAAAACCCAAATAACATAGTTGGTTGTAATGTTTGTTCATCGCGCCCCATTCCGCAATTCTATTAAGGCTCAAAGAGGACTACCTAAACACTATAGGGACAGATATAAGCTAATTTTATCATGATCAATTTGTTTTATATCATGTCGCTATCCACCTTTAAACATGTTTCACTCACCTTGACTCCTATACTTCCATCTTTACCAGCTAAGCCGTCCATTCCAGGTGGGCCCTCCTGTCCCTCCCTGCCTAGGACCCCACGTTGGCCAGATGGCCCCTGGGGACCCTTAGTACAATATAAAGAAAAATAACAAAATAAATCCTAATACCAAAGCAGATATCTGATATGTGTAACAGAAATATGGTAACTCTAAAAGTATACACCCCCTTAAAAGACAAGCCATATTTTGTGATAAAAAAAAAGATCATGAGAAAGAATTCCTAAACCTTTTGTAAAGTTTCGATTAGATATTTGATCCTTTTCCTTTTTTTAAAAAAGAAATAAAAAAACTCGGACTAATAAATTTTCCCATAGTTACACTTTTATTATACTCCTCAGTCTTCTTGAGTTTAAATCAAGCAGCAATTATAATTAGTTTAATTTACAAAACTGGTTCATCTAAGTTATGTGTCACACATTAACTCAGCGGTATCAGCATGGTGTGATAGGACGATCACACTCTTAATTAAGGTGAAAGTATGCAGCCAAACGAGCCAGTTTAACCTAAAGTGGTCAGCTGAGTATGCTAGAAAGTGGAAGAGTGGTTTCCTTTTCTAGCATCACTCTAAGTCCAAGCAAACATCCAAAACGTAAAATTAAGCTTCACCAGAAGATTATACAGATATACATTTGATTTGGACAGATCCACCAAGATTATAGAATTATATCTGATAGAAACTCTGTGGGATGCTCAGAAACATGGTAAGTTTAAAGCACTCATATGCAACATGTTTAATATACTGTATCCTCTGTATTCAGCAGAAGATACACTGTATCACGTTAACAATGGCTCATGAGGGGTGAATACACTTTAGACCTACTGTCCATCCAACTCACTGGTGGTCCTCTGTGCCCAGGAGCACCTGTTAGCCCTGGTTTTCCTTCTGAACCCTACAACAAAAAAGCACAAAAAAAAAAAAAAAAGTCACCTTCTAAAAGCTTGATAGAAATCGAAGAAATAAATAAAATAAATATTCAAGTGGTTCCCAAAAGTTTTCAGGCACCCCCCCTTCTTTGTTAACCACTGAAAAATGACATTGTGCACAGAGTCTCACTGTCTTATTCTTTCCCAGAAATATATATATCATCTCCTTACCAGATCACCTTTGGATCCTTTCAGTCCTGGCTGCCCTTTTAAACCAGGATGTCCCTGAAATATTCATAAATATATGATTATTGGAGTTTATGTAAAATTGGTATAAATTGGTGTGTAGCTGCTTAAATTATAGCTGACACATTTAAGAAGGACACCTACAGGAAGTCCTGGGGCACCAGTTTCACCTCTTGGTCCATTTAAGCCGATTTGACCCTAATAATATCAAGAAAACAATAATTGTCTGTATTTTAGGTATTATTTCTACACACATTCAGCTGAATAATGTGAAAAAAACGACGAAAAAACAAGTTCTGTGTTAGGGTTGTCTAATGCCTACTATGTTTGATTTGGACAGATCCACCTAGATTATAGAATTATATCTGATAGAAACTCTGTGGGATGCTCAGAAACATAGTAAGTTTAAAGCAGGTAAGTTTAAAGTAGAAATAATGCCTGTATTTAAGGCATTATTTCAACACATATTCAGCTGAATAATGTGGAAAAAAAACGACAAAAAAACAAGTTCTGTGTTAGGGTTGTCTAATGCCTACTTACTATGTGTCCTGTGTCACCTGCCTCTCCTCGCTCTCCTCTGTATCCAGGAGGACCCTGAATTCAGATGAACACAATAAATAGTTCAACACCCAAGAGTGTTGCAAACACATCGCAGACAAAGAATAGGTGAAGCACACAAACTTACTCTTTCACCTTGGGGACCTGGAAGGCCTTCTATCCTGTTGTCATCTCCCCGATCACCCTAAGCAACAAGCAAACAACCATACCCAAAGGTGCATAACTCCTAAATTCAATGATCTAGACAGAAGAAATGGCCGTTTTAAATGCTACTTTGAAATAAAAAATGGAGCGCTCTCTTTAAAAGAATGGAAAATCCTTTTCCCAAGCTATTACAATGATCCTATTTCACATGAATGGAGCTAACCAGCTGCAGGGTTTTTTTTTTTCATGACATTCATTTAACAATATCGATGGATATGTGTTTAATATAAACAGTTACATGCTGCACATGTGGAGAAGGCAATAAATACACAAAGAGCCCAACAATGATTCTATAAGAAGGATAAAAAATGAAGGCCAGGGGGCAATGAGGAAAGACAACTGCAAAGATAAAAAGCAATAAGCTGTATCTACAGCTGTAATTTAGATTTGTATTGACATTATAGTTTCAGTGCCAGAATTACCTGGCACTAAACCGACAATCATAAATTCTAAAATTGCCTGGATGATAGCATGATACTGCATTAATTAGAGCGCAGGCACAGCAATTATGTTGAGAACACTGGCAATGAGAAAACAACAAATAACAGCATCCAGATGGCTTCTGCCCAGGGACTAAAAAAATGCAAATGAGGGTATCACAAAACTCTGGTGCGCAGTGTATACACATATTACATAGTGCTCCTGTCAAATAAACACAAATTATGTGGCTAATATCTACAAAAACTATCAGCAGAAGTCCAGGTGCTTGGCTAATTATACGCATTTGACTGTGCAGAGTTAATTTGATTTGTCCAGGTTCATATCACAGATTAAATCAGGGGTAACTTGGCGGGTAGGCAACGACATTAAGACACACCAAGAAAGCACTAATTAGAAACACAGCCCTGGTCCCAGCCCATCAAACAAGTGGTCGTGCACAAAGACATTATGATATATGTGACAGATCCTCCTGGAATTAGTCTGCAGGCTGCTGATGGAACAACAAATGAATGGATGGTACCTTTTCTCCTTTTGGTCCAGAAGGTCCAAGTGGTCCTGGTGATCCCACGTAACCCTGCAGAAACCAGCAGACTGACTACATGCTTTTACACTGTGCATCCAGCCTTTAATTTGAGGCACAGTGGTACAGAGTGGCTGATATATTATCTATCATATGCAATATTTAGAGACAGGAGAATCTAAATGAATACATTTAATTCAGTGCATTCTCATTATGAGTTCGTATGAAATCGTACGAAAAGTTATGCACCGTAATTTCGTACGTTTTGGACGCACCATTCACGAATATAGAATATAAATTACAATTAGCCCTAATCCTGACCCTAACCCTAATATATAAAACAGCAAGCAACATAGTTAGAGGCATGTATAAGTGATGATTGCACTGTTCCCAGTTTTACGTCTGTCCGCGGATCTGCTTTTTTTTTCTGGCTGCCAGCGCATGCGCACTGATGTGGTTTTTTGAGGAAAAACGTCCAAAACGTACAAAATAGTGTGCATAACTTTTCGTACGATTTCATACGAACTGATAATGAGAATATGTTGTTTAATTTGGAAAAAATCCTTAATTAGGCTAAAAAGAAATGGATTTTTAAGACAGAAATGTTTGCTTAGTGGAAAGTATTTGTAAGTACTGCACACTACATACAGCAGGAACTGAAGAGAACCCTTAAATGGAACTTCTAAGTTTTTAAGGAAGCCAAAGTTGCTTGAAGAGCAGCCATTACTGGCTCTGGTGTTTCATTTTCCTCTTGAAAATACAATATAGACATGGAGTTGGTCTTGGATCTGGACTTATAAAGGACTGTTCCAACATCATCAGATAATATGGTTCTCTAAATCATCACTAAAGGTAGTTTACTTCCCCAGGAAAAAAAGGAATTTGGATCAATGCACAAAATACCAGGAACTGCTGTTCTGATTTTTGGGGAGGTTTAATGCAAATACAGCGACTCTTGAAGCTTTTTCTCCCCAGTAAAAACTGCTGCTAATACTGTTGTAGGTGCATCTTTTTCTACCTACTATCTAAATAAATCAATGCAATCAGCAGCCTGCTTATCTAGCAAACAGTTTTAGTGATGCACCCTTCTTTTAGAGAGCCTCAACTTTCCAGTCAGCTGTCTCCACCATTAATGTGTAGGTAATAACATTGTGATGACTTGATATTCCTGTCTTAAAAAACATGGTTTGAATTGATTTTATGCAATAAATGTGGGGTTGGTATTAAAAATATGATCAAATTTATATTAAAAAAATAGTTGAAATGTAATGTGGAGAACTGTAATGAATATACTTACTTAAAGGTTTACTTTTTTAAACACTAATATAAGCAGCCTTCATTCTAATTTCTGTATTCTTGACAGGCAGCTGTAAATCAACTAAAGATCGTTCACAATCCTCTCAACTACTAAAGCTTATATTTTCCTCAGGTGTGTCGTTTTTGGTTTAATCTAAAGACCAAACATTTGAATGCCTCCAGTTCAGCTACTTGACATTTCAAACACTTGTTTGCTGTAACTAAATACTTTAATAATTGATTATGTCAATTATTTTTTGATGAATCTATCGATAATAATGCAGCAAAAGGTTCCTTAAAGATTTTGTACTGAATTTAAATCAGGTGAAACTAAAATTATTCCAGATGAGGAATTCTGGGGAGAGCATATTAATGGATAAAAAATGTTTTTCATCTTAAAAACAAAATTTCTATTTTTTTGTTTTGTTTATTTATTTTTTTATTGAATGTATTTATTTATTTATTTATTTTTTTTGCAATTTTGGTATAATAAAGCTAATAATATAATATATATAATATAATAAATGCTCTAAGTGTGTTACTCTCAGCTAAAGGCAGGTGTTTGAGTCTCTACAGTCCAGTTAACAATTAATCGATTACTAAATTAGACTATGATCATTTCAACAAGTAATTAATCACAGTCATTCCGATAAATTGTTTCAGTCTTAAAAAGCTTTATAATTGAGAATACAGAAACCTTTAAACAAACCTGACCACTAGTATGGATTTCTAAGAGCTGGATCTGTAGCCAGAAGAAATTTAATGTCTTTGTTGATTTAATGTAGACCTTAGGAGTCAAGCTGTCGCTGAAAGCTGATCAAATTGGCTTTGTACATCCTTGTAAATACATTTTATTTGAAAAAGAAAAGTGGAAAAAGACTTTGGATTGAATCAGTGAAACTGAACTTTGCAAATACCCCTTTAAAAAAAGAGCAGAGGTTTTACAGCCACCCTCAAATAAGAAAGCAACCTGCTGATTCTGTGGAGAGAATTATCTCACAACACTAACAATGTCTGATCTCTTACTATTACACAGTTGAAACCATGAAGTCACTTTTTGTGCTATCAATTATCTGATGAAGATTTGGTATTTCTGAAGCTACTGTATAAACCCATGCAAAATGAATGTACTTCAAAATGGCTGAGATCAACTGAATAAATGAGGAAAAGAAACTGTGGCAGACGGCTGTTCCAGGCTCAGCAGGAGAAATTGACAAGAAATTGTGCCACCTAGCAGGATGTATTGACAGAGAAAGTTATCATGACAACTAGTTTCTACAGAAAAAAAGGAACATTTGGCTGTTATTGTTAAAAAGAGGCTATTATTGGTAGAGAAAACTTTTCTAGAATTTTTCTAAATAATTATGAACTGTATATATATATATATATATATATATATATATATATATATATATATATATATATATATATATATATATATATATATATATATAACATATATAAAAAAAAACAAACCTGCCTTTTTTTCTCACGCGTTTTTTAGGATGCAAAATTTTTTAAACATAATGTAGATAACAAAGAAATATAAAAACCCAGCTGATAGAAGATAAACTTAAATAAGTTTTATTACCAGGGGTTTTTATAAGTTTTACTCTTAAAATTACTCTCTATTTTTCATTCCTTTTACTATGATCTGTCCTTTATGTCAACCTAAGACAAATTCCTTCAGGCCTAAAAACAAACATGATTTTTATAGATGTTTTCTGATGAAAGTAAGTACCTCATAACCAGCTATGCCTGGATCACCCTGCTGGCCCATCCTTCCAGGGGCACCCTGGGATTAAGAAATAAAAAAATTATTATTTTCTACAATATTTAGAAATAGAATCTTACACTATAAGAACTTACCACAGGGCCAATGGTTCCTCTCGCCCCCTTCTGGCCAATAAACCCAGAATCCCCCTGCATTCCGATTGGTCCACTCTCCCCTAAATAGCCCTGCTGACCTTTGCTCCCCTGGAGAAAGGACAACAATGATCAGGTATGTGCTAACACGCACCAACAGATGTCAGAGGAATCTAACGATGTAAACATTGAATGCCAGAACTCTATTTGACAAGAACCTCCAATTCTGCTCTCATAAGGGTTACTGACCTCCCAGTTTGTTTACAACTAAAGCTGAGGAATATTTAATTCCAAGTACAACAGAATAAATTTAGAGCAAACTAAAATGAAAGCTGTGCTTCACTGAAATCAAATGTGCTGGCAGACCTTTTCTCCTGGCTTTCCTCCTTCCCCAGTTTTGCCAGGTCTGCCCTCCTGACCCTGTTAAACAAGAGTCAGAGCACTGGGCTTTCAGTGGACGGAAAGAGCTGCCTTTATTAGATGTGAAGGAATCAAAGTTCCCTCTTGAGATACTCACCCTGAACCCAACAAGTCCAGGAGGACCAGATCTGCCTTCCTCTCCTTTCAGGCCGATTTCACCTCTGTCTCCGGTGTCACCATCTGCACCAGCATCTCCTTTTTCACCCTAAGGAAATTAAACTTTAAAATGTAACAGTTCATCTGGAAGCTCATAATTTTTCAAAGTGAGGTTAAATTCTGCATCTCAATTGAAAACCATGTTCACTAATATCCAGTCAATGCCAGCAAATACTTCCTGCCAAGTTAAAGGACACTGGGTTTCCCAAACATCTCAACAGAACCACAGGCTGCATGCTTATACATACTTTACATTAAACAAATTTTCAGAATAAAAAAATTGACTTATAAAAAAAAAGAAAAAATCAATGTAGTTTACTAGATGGTTCAATACAGGAGTCATTTATCTACAGTTTTCATATTTTTTTTTTTTACACATCTTTGCCTCTAAGGAACAAAACAAGTTGAGATGGAGCAGTAAACTTAAACTACTTACAATTTTCTACATCATCAAATGAACAAACACCAGCTGAGGAGTTACTGCAGAGCCTGAGGAACTGCTGCCACAAAAGCTAGGTCTCTTAAATCCCACCCATTTTCTCAACAGAACAGCTATTAAGCCTCTACCTAATGAGCACAGAGAGCTTTGTGCAGCAATAAGGTTGATATCAACCAGTGCTCACGGTTATAAAAATAAAATCTTACATTTTATCTATTATTCACAGCCATCTGAAAAGGCCCAGAGTGGGAAGTTGCGATCCACATACAAAACAGACTCTACTTAAAGGTCCCGCTGCAGCGCTCGGAGCTGCAGCATGAAGTTTCTGCAATGACAGCTCAGGCATGTAAACAAAGAGTCACAGCAGTGAAACCAAAATGACACAAAGGCATGACTTATTTATTAGTTAGACACAGCAGCCTGCGAATGGGAGATATTTCTGAGAAGAAATACAGAGATGTGACTTGACATAATATTTTTTTTCCAAGGTGTTTATAAGTCCCTCAACATTTTATGTCACAGAAAAGTAGGTCATAGCTCAAGAACTTCAGTTCTGATGCAATTTTTTCAGAGAGAAGAGGTTGGTCCTTTAGAGTCTTTGCATTATAAAAGCTGCCTTGTGTAGAAACTAAATCCACATAGCCTTAGGGCAACTGTAAGAAGAGGTCTTTGTAAAAACAATGACAAAAAAAAATCAAATGAGAAAAACAGCAAGCCTTAAATGAATCATACAAACATTAAAATTTTATTTTTCACAAAATACAGAAGGCAAAAAAGTAGAAATATTAAATGTACCCAAAAAGAATGGTATTTTTTTGTTACTTCACTGTTTCTTTTATTCATTTCACACTCTTTCAAACACATTTCTGTACTATTATATGTTAGCAAGAAAAACATGTTGTGGGAAACTTGTTATGTTAACAAATACAGACAAACCATCCAAAGGGTGTAATATTTTTGCAGGATCTGTACAAACTAACTGAAAAACTAATTTGACACTCAGGGAGAAAGAGGGAAATTCAGGTCATGTATCCCTTCAAAAAACAGAAACATAGTGATCACTTACTGTACAACTAAAAAGAGATGGACAGGATATGTAAATAGTGATCAGTCCTGCAGCAGATATTTTGAGATAAAAAAAAAACGAGAACAAAATGGGATGTCAAATGTATCTTATTAAAAAAAAACTCACATGTACTTTAATGTATTTTTAGAATAGCATTGTTTGCTTATTTACAATAAAACATTTTCAGATCATAAACCTAAATTTAATATAGAACACAGAAAACCTGATACATAATCCAGTTTTTAAAAGCTATCCAAACCAACCTGACCATATATGAAAGGCAACAGCTAATGTAAGCATCATAAATGGATATTTCACTTCTGGAAACAACCACCAACCTATGTAAAGTATTGCCAAAGTATCTCAAAATGATCAAATTGGATTTTGACTCGTTAATTCACAAAACCCCAATAATGTCTTAAAGTTTTTTTCAGCCACTCAAAAGTGGACATATGGTTTGCTTCTGATCATTTTTCAAAAGAATAACCAAAATAATAAAAGTCAAAAACTGATGGCCAAATATTCTCCTTCAGGATTTTCTTATAAAGAAGGGAATTTTCTCATAGATAGCAGAATCAATGTTAGTTAACGCAGGTTGTCCAGTTTGTTAAGTAGCACAGCATTTTTGCTAAGTGCGTTCTTTTCATGAAGTTCTGATCACTTACCTTAACTAGGGCAAGTGCAGTTTGCAGAGCTTTAGATACTGTTTGGGTTCTTCTCTGACCCTCTGGATGAATCATTGATGGACACATGGAGAACTTTTGATAGGCTGCCATTCCTGGGAAGGTTTCCCACTGTTCCATGTTTTCTCATTTTGTGGATAATGAGTCCCACTGAGGTTTATTGGAGTCTTAAGGCCTTAGAAACGGCTTTGAAACCCTTTCCATACTAAATAAGTTCACTTCCTTGTTTTTCATCTGTTCTTAAATTTCTTTAGATCCGGCTTTGATGTGTTCCTTTTTGAGTTATCCTACCCTGCTTCTTATTGTTAGATGGGTTCTATTTAGCTAATGTCTGGATTCTATAGGTCTGCCACTAGTCAAATTTAAATGTGTGGATGGAAATAAAATACCCTTTCCAAAACATATTCATGATTTAAAAAAGAGGATCCCTGTTTCGCAAAAAATAAGGTTAAATCACACAGCATACTTAATATCCCTAATATATTTGTTATTTGATGGTCTAAGATAAAACAAAAACAGAATAAATTTGTGATGGAAAAAACAAAACAAAATTTTTGCTTAGTAGATTTGTGTTTAACCAATTACAATGCATCAACTTAGAAATGTTATTTTCTTGTTTTTGTGACAACAGTCTGTAAACAGAAAAAAAATCCTGCTTTTTAATTTTATTCAGTTTTAAAAGTCCAAAAGTGTTAATGGTAAAGGAAGTTTATAAATGAACATTTAATGCTACTTAACAAAGATTAATACTGGTTTCCATACGTTACATATATCAGATAGGTTATTGGGTAGTTAAAAATGTGTTATCTTAGAAAACAGTAACAGTTTAGAGTGGTTTTAAAAGAACAGCATTTTCCACTTTATTTCCAAGTGTACAGATTTTAAGCGCCAGAAAAACTTTCACCTTAGCAGCCTCTCAAATACTCAGAAACAACGAAGGCATCCTTGAAAAATAAGATAGAGAGTTAGAAAATAGCTTTGGAGGGTGAAATGGACCTGGTTGGCAGAAATAGTCCAAGTATAAAAACGCCTAATATGACCAATTGTAAGCATTTAAGTTTTATTTTGTCAAGCCATTGTAGTACTGAAACTCTGCTGAACACATTTTTTGTTAAAGATAATTTGTTTTGTTTTTTTCAGTTTTTTTCAGCAACACAGAATTTGGCCAAAAACAGAAGTTTTCCGGGTTTCCTTTAAGACGTTGCATTGAGGCCTAAATCCTCTCATGCCTGTTTTAAACCCTGCATGACTAAAACTGTCTTATAGCTTGAAGGCTCAAAAAACTTGTGGGTTGGTTCTGTTTATACAATACTTACACATGTTTGGCTATTTCAGCAAAGTAGTGTTGCTGCTACAAAATGTGCCCAACAGAAAAAATTTTTAATAAGCCCACACCTAGAAAAATCTCATAGCGGCAACAACGTACAGCCAGAAAGATGAGACTTACCGAGACATAAAAAATGCAATGTTTTTTGTCCTTTAGACTTGCCTTATTTCCATAAGGTCCACATGTTCCAGCCTCCCCATCAATGCCTGTCTCGCCCTGTATGAAGTATCAAAAAACAATCATTAGAAAAGTAAGCATTTTTATTCATTCAGCATGCCTCATTAAAAACGTATGCTTGAAAAGATAATTTGGAAATAATGTTTAGCAGCTAATAAATAGTGAAGCACCAATGCCTCATGCTTTTATTACCACTTTATTCAGTGCGACCTGGGTTCAATGAAATGTATGATTTGCAGAGGACAAAGAAGTGTTGCAATATTCTGGAAATCATTGAACAAGAAACAAACCTAACCACCATGTCATAGTGCTTGATCCTGTAATTACTATTCATGTTTGGGTGCTTCAATTTTTATAGTTTAGTGTCTGTCACTAACTGATGAGGATAAATACTTACTATAGTGTAGTTTAACATTTGTCAGAATGTAATGCAGATTAAACTAGATGAGGAAAACATTTTATACTCACCCTCTGGCCAATTAAGCCCTGCTCTCCAATGCTCCCAGGTGCACCAACAGAACCCTGATAGGCAATCAAAATAAAGCATTTGTTCTTGAATGACTACAAAATATAGCTGCCACATTTGATATCAAAGGAATTTTTTTATAATATAACCCAATGCCATTTAAACCAGATTTCACTCCAACTGCAATGAAGCCTTTTTTGTCTCGCCTATTAAAGTTTTTTTTTCTTTTCTTTTTAGTTTTAGCAAACTAGCTAAGACTGAATAAAAAGTATCTTTGATCAGAAATCTTCCTAAAAGCTGTTAGTTGGAATTAAGCTACTGAATGTGACAACACAGTCAGTACCATTCTAATACTTACAGTTAATATGTTTGGATCTGGGCTGCACAACAGGGCAGTGGGTAGCACTGCTGCCTTGCAGCAAGAAGGTTCCAAGTTCAATTCCTGGCCTGGGGTCTTTCTACATCAAGTTTGCATGTTCTCCCTGTGCATGTGTGGGTTCTCTCTGGGTACTCTGGCTTCCTCCCACAGTCCAAAAACATGACTTTTAGGTTAACTGGCCTCTCTAAATTCTGTTTAGGTGTCAGTGTGTGAGTGCATGGTTGTTTGTACTGTCTCTGTGTTGCCCGGTGATAGACTGGCGACCTGTCCAGGTTGTACCACGCCTCTTGCCCCATTGACAACTGGAGATAAGCAGCAGCATCCCTCGCAACCCCAGCAGTGATAAGCATGATGGAAAATGAATGAATTTCTGGATCTAAACCATTCTACTATGCTCTTCATTTTGCTGCCTGTTTTCTACTATTCTATGATAAATCTCTGAGATACTTGGTTTGAAAAGCACATTCATATCAAACTTCATTTTTTGAAAAACAATTTAAAACATTTAAAAATTTCCTTCCTCATAACATTTATACCACAATTATCACTTAAAATCCCAGTTAAGGAAATAAGTTGTCATTGTAAAGGAACAAAATGTGTTTTACATGGATATTTTTACAAGAAGGTCTAAGTAAAACAGTATATGTTAATATGGACGGTGGAACAGCTATCATTCCATGAACTTTCATTTCTTCTATTCTGTTCTCTTTACCTTCTCTCCATGTTCACCCGGCAGCCCTTTTTCTCCAGCATTTCCAGCAGGTCCCTATCAGAAACAGTTATATCATTTGATATGTGGCACTAATATAAAAATCAGCTTGAGTTCTGACACCAGCTGTGTGATCAACTAACCATCGCTCCAATCCCCCCAAGTGGCCCAATCCTTCCTGTTGGCCCTGAGGGTCCCTGTATCGACACAGCAGAGGCATCAATAAAATTGTTAAGAGGATTTTCTGACATTAGATAAACACCTCTGACAGGAAAAGAAGATAGGAGAAAAGGTTCAAGGGATAAGAACTCAGCAGAAAGGGAGCATTTTCAGGGAATACGTTAATCTGCAGGGTTTAAAATCTTTAAACAACAACCCAAGGCTTCTAAATGTTAGTAAAACTGGCCTGCTGTTTTAGAGACACACTGAAAGTACAGTAAAGCTGTCTATAAAAGGAGGAAATGGGGCAAACCAAATTGCATCTGCTTTGCCATACTTTGCTTCTTATGTCCATGAGGCTTGGACAAAAGAAGAGGAAAAGGAGGATTAGGATGTTTTTTGAGCTTTTCAAACAGGATATAGAGTTCTTGGAAAAGCTAAGGAAAAGATAAAAAGAAGGAATTTAGACAAGAGCCAAAACATCTCAAACACTTTCCTATAGTTAAAGTTAAAATATCATATTATTAAACTACATAGAAGGTTAACTTGAATAACAAACTCACTGGTTCTCCTGCAATTCCTTTGGCCCCTGGAGGTCCTGAGGGCCCCGGAACACCCTGGAATTATAACGCCACTAAGTGCTGGTATTCATACAGATGCTGAAAAGTCATAACTGATCGGAACCAATCTCTGTCTGATAACTTACTCGAAATCCCTTCAGCCCAGCTTCGCCCGGCTCACCAAACCTTCCCTGCAGCCAAACAACATAAATGGGAAAAATTTGATAAAACACAAATTTAAAGTTCCAACTTATAACAGCACCATGAATGAATGAATGCATGAATAAATGAATTAAAATAATTTATTTCAGACAATTAACAAATACTAAAAATAATAATCGATAAATCTTTTTCAGAAAATATTTGAAACAGACAACGATTTACCACACAAAAAAGCCATTGGTTACAGGTTGAAAATTAAATTAAATAAATACAATTTTCAGTTCCAGATCAATTTAATTAATTTGAACATAGATAGAAGCCAATAAAATAGACAAAATGTTCCACTAAATAAAGTCAGTATATAACTTTGTGATAAAGAAATACAGTAGCAAGCCAATATATTTCCCTAATATAACATAAATGCTGTCCTCTAGATGGTTCAGGGGGTCAAAGTTGTAATACGACAATGAAATAAAACTGTTATTCATAATGTGAGTACTCTGGTCCTCAGTGGATGTATCCAGCACATTTTACATTTTACTTGCTTAAAGTGAGACATGATGTATATAAATGTCAATAATAGGCTCCTGGAGAACTTGAGAGGTTGATGTGGTAATTTCACCATTTTAATTAGGTGTTTTAGAGCAGAAACACATCTGGTGAAGGATACAGACCAAGATTTCCATGTTTCGCATGTACCGTATGTAGGGTGCAAAATTACAACACTGTAGTGTGAAATTTTCTACATTTTCTAAAATATTTAAATTATTTTAGAATATGATCATTAATATGTTTCAAATGCAAAACATTCTGTGACATATTTAAATAGGTAGACATTTGTTACCATTTTGAACAATACCGAAAGATAAAGATGTCTGTTATCTAAACAACAAAAATCCGTTTTTATCAAACGGAATTAAGAAAAATGTTATTTCTAGGGAGGAAAAAATTAAGGAAAGAATGTAAAAGGCATAAAACGTCCCAGAGGTAAAGTACATGTCAACGCAAGATTACATCGTTTCACTGCATTTTGATGAAGGCTTACCCTGTGATATCCATTTGTCTGTTCCCCTGACTGTTGAAGTGAGAATGAACACTTTGGTAAGATCTAAAAAGCTGTCTGAGGCCTAGACTGTAGCAGCCTATTAGTGAGGTATGAAATTCAAGAAGGTGTCAGAATAAATTAGTTATTTCACTGTTCAGAAAAGGTTCTACATATGCAATACATAAAAAAGCAGCACATTAAAATCAGACTATAAGGTGGCACAAGAACTCAAGAAACTTCAAATCTTGCCAAAGCACCTCCAGCAGCCTCTAGCTACTTTTAATACCACCTTGCATGCCTTTAAAATCGGAACATGACTGCACAGGTTTTCCTTTCAAGGTTAAACATTTGCTCTCTAAGAAAACAACATTGTCTGATCAAAGTTCATCACAGGGGACATAGAGAAAAACCATGATCTCTACAATGTGTTTTGAATAAAGAGGCTAAAATTGTATTGTTTGGACACCTACATAGCTTGGTGTAAACTAAAAGCAGCCTTTCATGAAAATAACTTTTTTATACTTTATGGTACAAAGCATAGAGATTTAAGTGTCATGATTTAAGGTTGCTTTGCTGAAGTAGGATTTGGCTTGTTTACTATTACAGAATCCAGCAAGAATCCACCTGTGTATCAAAGACTACTTGTACTTGTGGAATATACTTGTAAAAAATATGAAAACATGTTTACCAAATTAAAGCTGGATAATAATGACATGCCAGTAAAATTACAAAATTATGAAACCTACCAGTAAAATTACAAAAACAAACTAAGTGTTAAAACAAATTCAGTTACCTGATATTTAAGGTTCCATTTTATGCTACATTTGAAAATAAAAATTATTAAAGGCACACCGTGTAACTTTTGGCCACTGGGGGCGCTAGACCTGTAACTGCCTGTAAGTACCGGTAGCTTCTACTAAACATCGACAATAATACCAAAGATACATGACTGTGTACTAGGAGCACAGTGTTAACTTACCAGTCTAATAATATGGTTGAGAAAAGAGAATAAGTTTTACATATTTCACTTTCAGCCTGCACCACTGAGCAAACTGGTTACCAATATCGACTCTTGTTTTTCCTTGAGCACGATTCCCTTTAACGTTTTCTCTTTTTAGGCTCCACAGAAGGTTTAAACTTTTCCTTGCTCATCCATGGCCATTAGTCGAGCAAGCAGAAAAATACTAAAGCAAAAGTCTAAGCTCCAGGAATAAATAAGAGCCTGTGGCCGTAAAGACATGTGTTCTTCCAGGTCACATGACCTGGCCAACAACGGTGTGTCTTCTCCCAAATTACATTAAAGTCAGTATTTCCAGAGGGGAGTCCTGCTTATAGCATTGATAGTGTGAAGCGCTGTATATTGGCCCGAGGAATCATTTAAAATTACTCATATGCCTCAACTCTTTGGGTCACAAAGTCTTTGGTGTGCCTTTAACAAGATCACAATGTTTGCCATTTCTGCAGGACAATTCCTCTCAGACAGCCTTTACCAGAAATCTGCTAATTCAGCCCTCCTCTGGACGAGCTGTTTTGGCTTTAAACTCCCCGTCCTCCTGAAGGCCACGCCTCCACAACCCACAACGACCAGTCAGAGGTTGTAAAGATAACCTAATAATAATACATTCAATGAAGGTCGTACAGTAGTTTGATCAATGGGCTGCTAAAGCCACTCTGGACATCTTTATACCCCCTTATGTCATCATAAAGGGCATGATTGTCAAACAAAGGATTTTAAGCACACATTAGCTAAGAGGTGGAGAAAGCAAATGATAGAGGTGAAAGAAATGTTTTTTTATTTTGGGACTCGTATGACTGTTGTATGTTTATTATGTGAGCTTTACATATTTGGGATCTCGGAGTGACTTAAATACTCATAAATCTTAAATGTATATACATCTCAATGAATGAGTAGAACGGGGCAAATCTTCTTTCAATCCATATCAGAAATATGGATTAAAAGAAGCAAAGAATCAAAGATAGATCACTACCAGAAAAGCCTGAAGATACTTCAGCAAAAGACGTTGATCCTGACTATAAGAAAATAGGATATTGTAGCTCTAAAAAATAATTGTTGATGTTTAAAGAGAAAAACAAAATTACTTTTTTTATACTTAGGTAAAAATCCCTTTGTGCAACCACAAAAACTTACAGTATTTTAATTTGCTAAAATATAATTATAAGAAAAGGTATATATTTAATGAGGTGCCCTATATTATTTTTTTTACACCACAGTATTTGTGATCAAAAGCACAGCTTCAGTTTTGTAACATCTCAAGCCAGCATACTACTCTTTAATCTCAACTTTTCAGAGATGCCACTTGAACAAATGGAGAACTAGCACTGGGGCTTTTGCAAAAACTTCTTTTAGCAGTGGAAAATATAGATTTTTTTTCTTACCATCTCCCCAGGGAGGCCCAATTTTCCTGATGGACCATCAGGCCCCTGCAAAGAAACAGCATGGAATAAATGGGCTTCGTGAAATCCCCCTCAATATAAAAAGTGCTACCAGCTTCATTATTCTTTAAAGCTCCTTGATATACAGCTCTGCACCTTATTTCTAAGAGGGTCCTGCAATATCCTTCAGCTAGTAAAAAAGTTTAAGAATAACAGCTTTTATAAACTGTTAAACCATCTTGTTTTTTCTGAATAATTTAGGTGAATTTCTCTTTCTTTAAAGCACCTTTATTAAGACGTTTAAGTGTCAATACAAAAAACAATGAAAAATAAGACATCTTGAGTAGCTTACACATTTTAGTCTTTACTGATATGCTCACCTTGACCCCTGTTAACCCTTTCACTCCTAGAGGGCCATCAGGACCTCTGGGACCCTGTTAAAGGATAATAGTTGTTACTGATAAACAGCTTTACTAAATTGCTCTCAACCACCTGCTTTAAAAACAAAAACAAAAAGAAAAACACTTTTGTATTTTTTTCATTATTCATACTAAGGTAACCTGAGTTGCTTTTGGTTGTGCCAATAAGATTTCCCCACACTGGTGATACAAACAGCAGCTGCTTAGGCAGATAGCTGGCATCGGCCATTTAATTCCACTGTGTGCCCATTTCCCACTGTGTGCAACATTTTCCCTACTGGTCCACAATCATAACAATGGTGCTGTCTGCAAGAAGTTACTTTAAAAAAAAAGGTCTGTAATCTCTGGGCCTATATTGCTTTACCCTGAAAACTGAGCCGAATTATTCAGTCAAAAATCAGAGAGATTTTTCTAAATAAGTTTAAGCAGGATCAAGCTGTCTTTTACTTATTTCCTAAAACGTCTTTTCTGAAGTGATAAATAACAGTTATTTCAAAATAGAATTTAAAATCAGTGTTTTGAACATGGAGTAAAATGATTTAAATCTCTCATTAAGGAGGCAGAGATAAAATATTTTCTATCACAACATAAATAAATAAATAACAGTCTCATCGTTGTCACTAACATCTTTTGCAAATTGTTGGAGACAGAGTAACATCTAGTTCACATATTCTAAAATAATAAAAAAAAATATGTGTAGGTGTACAAAGTAAAGTGTGCAAAGAAGTTTGCACACTTTATATAAATGGGAGTTATGGTATAAAACCAGAGCAGTGTGCTCTTTGTTAAAGAGATAAAGTCAAATGTTTAAGTAACACAGCTTTAACTCTCATTTTAAAATACTTGATAATGCCAAAGTGGCCCAATATAAAGATGAGTTTTGACACCCATGATCTAGAGATAAGGCTTTTGTTGGTAATCTGCTGCTGCTGCTCAGTTACTGTCTGAATGCTGTCTAAAACAAAATTTCAAGTTGTCTAAGTCTAAATCTAAATTATGCATGTGCCAAAGTATAAAAAATCTTAAGTTAACAGTGGCTAATGTTCTGTATTGACATTAACAGATCTGAAATATGCCTTTTTGCACATTTTATGCCATGATCAGTGGCGGAGCCAGAGGCATAGTTTGGGTGGCAACCCCAAAAGAAATCCTCGCCACCTGTGTTGCCACCCTATGGAAACCTTTAACACTGTTTGACATTTATGAACATTTGCTAAGAAAACAGTCACATTTCCCAGCAGACTTGAATGCATCCTCATGCAGCATGCTTCTGTTACACTTTTAATTGGTTCCTTTGTATTCCAAACAGCTCAAAAAAACAAAACACGGCAGCGGTACACAGGATCAATGAAAAGGATTTAATTGCTACTAAATTAAACAAAGGGCTGTTTTAACGGAAAGTAAGGGACACTTTGCACAGCAGTGCTTGTGCTTAGTATTACACATGTAATACTACTTCAATTACTAGTCTCATGAAACGCACAAATACCGTCACACTTGCGTGAAGGTGCTTAAAAGAACATCTCGTTAGGAAAATATTCAGCAACAATCACAGAAATGAGGTAGAATTTTTCATAGTGGTACACGTAATGCAGGATAATGATGCATTGAGAGCATTGTGTATGAATTGTGGGCTATGATTCCTAAAAGAGGAGCCTCTGCTTGCTTTGAGGAAAACATTCAAGTCAGACTTACAGTAGCAGCCATTCAAAATGTCCCTTCCCAGTCAAACGCCAGCCGAATGGCAGCCTACTCCCCTGCGACTCCCATTGAAATCCCCACCAACTTCCAGCCACTGGCCTTCTCCTGGGTGTGAATTTTTTTTTTTTTTTTTTACTCTGACTCCACCCTTTCATTGAATTACAGCATCTGAACAGGAGATAATGCTTCTCTTTAGATCTTAATCTCCACAAATCATGACAAAAAGAATATTTTTGTACAAAGACTGACATTTAAAAAGGAATTGTAGGGGACCAACAAAGGACCTATCAAGAGAATTGGGGACAATTTGAATGGCTACTACTGTAGAAGACGTTATGCATGAGCTTCATCAAACGGGAGGGCTTCTTTTAAGAAGGGAGAAAAGTGGAGAGAGACCAGCTTCTCTACTTGAGTTTAATGTGTTTTTTAAAAACTTACAAAGAGATTTTCCATGAACTTTTTAGGCTTGGTAAAATTTGGCTTTTGATTCCAGTTAGCACTGCATATTTGCCCTCAAATTAATAAAACCCCACCTTAGGACAACAATGGCCAATGATAGATTAAGTCAGTGTTGAGTCAGGGAGGTCATATTCCCTAAATATGGAACATTTTGTAAAACATTTTGCTTCATCTCACCAGAACCACAGAGTTTTGCAGTTCTGATTGTTTTTGTGAACTTGGTCTTATCATATCACTGGGCAGTGGTCAACTATAGTCCGTTTTAAAGGGCTGTATATTTTTTTGTTGTTTTATTTTGTTCTATTCTTCTTCTTCTTGTGGTACTCATTTAAATGTGCACTGCTGCTTGTCCTGCCTTGTTTTGACAGGTCCAAATTTACCTCATATTTTTGTTTACTATTGGATTTGATTAGTACAAGGAGAACATTAAGTACTTGTTTTTTTTATTGTTTTTTTGCTGTATACTTAATTTATAATACATTGTACTGTACATAATTGTAAACATTTTGTAACATAAACAACTTTAATTTAATCAATGTACATTTTGCAGAAAGAAATAAATGTTTGGAGTCTAACTGAATTCTTGATATATTGACCCCCCCCCAATAATACTTTGCCACGGCTTTGCTACCCCTCTTTTAAAAGTCTAGCTCCGCCAGTGGCTATGTTATATGCAGAATGCCTTGATTATTACTGCCCAGTAAAACCAGCAAGTTGCAGGTTTGATATTTCCCTATACCCATCCACCTGGAGGGCTATAAATATAATATGAATTGCTCCTTGACCATTTTCCCTCTCAAGCCAAATGAATCATAAAGAAATAATGAGGATTGCACACTAAACAAAGAGCCGCAGCATCCCACTGGTAGGAGATGATGTGTATATTTCTGGAATTAAATGGACAGTATAATATTACATTTATATTATTCATATTTGTGCAGTTAAATTAAGGTAAAATATATTTTTAGTTGACAATATGTCTTAAATGTTTGATATTATGGAGATAGTGGTATACATAGTTTGCAAATGTAATTAATTGTTATATGATTTCATTCACAGTTAAGTTTTAAAAGCTGTTTTTATCTTTGTAGGTTATTGACCAACTCATATGATGCTGAGCTTTATTTTAATCAAAAAGAACAGTTAAAGAAAATGGAACTGAGTTGAGTCGTCTTGAAGACCGTTTTGGTTGTGGCCAGGCCTTTCAATTTTGGGCAACCTAAAGAAAACTTGACAGTTACCTTAGGCTTATCTAAAACAGTTAAATTCAGATATACTTTATTAATCCCAGTATTTTGCTTGGCAAAGTATTCGATAGATTAATAAAGCATAAAGGGTTAGAACTTTTTCAGGCTTTTAAAAGTCTGAAACACAAGCTTCAAATTGTTTTATTTAAAGAAAAAGATGAAGGAACTATCGCATCACTTACCAATGATAACAGGACCACTATCTTATAACTGTTGTTAAACACTGTTTTAAAAACTGTTGTTATCATATGCAGTGATGTGCTTGAGTTTTATGAAGGTGATGAACTCTTATGTTAATGAGCTTTTTGTTGTCACTTCTTTCAGTTCAACACATAAACCCACCATGTGGCATGAACACAGTCTAATATTGTTCCTGATGCCAATTTTTGATCAACTGGAAACACTGTAATATTTGCACCAGTAACTTACCCTGCCACCCTTGGGCCCTCTGATGCCAGGAAATCCTCGTGAACCAGGGGGCCCCTAGATGTGTGTGTGGGTAAAACAAGTCTTTTAGTTAATCTATACATTACTACTGAAACTGATAGAAAATGGATATTTCCTTAATCTAATGAGCTGTTTTGTAATCAATTACAAAAAAAAAGGTAATTAAACAATAAAATTATTTTTAAGCATTCATTTTAACACAAGGTAGTATGTCTCTGCTTTGAAATAATTAGGAAACTAGAAGTTCATATACATGCTTTAGAGATTTTTCAATCCAACATGATAAATGAAGAATTTTGAGACAAATGTAAAATAAAAAAAAATGGCTGTCAGGTAAAGCCGGGCATACACTGTACGATCACTTGAATCGAGCCAAGTTTTAGCCTCGTGCATCCTGTGTTGTGTAGTATACAGGGGGTAACAAGGGGCGATTAGACTCTCACGACCACCTCCCTATAAAGAATTGTAAGGTCGAGAGAAAATAAAACATGTTTGAAATTCAGTCAGCCTTCATTAGGTGTTTGTGAGCAAATCCTGCTGTTGAAGCAGAGCAAAGAGCGTCTACCAACCAATTTACCAGAATGTCGACCACTGTGCATGTGCAAACAATATAATTCTTCTTCTTCTACTTCCAGATTGACGAGCCCAACCAGCACCATTGCTCGTCGCGAAGTCTGACATGTGGTTTCAGAATGTACAGAGTGAGCAGTTAAATCACATCAGAACATGGGGTCGTACAGTGTAAGAACTTACATAGTGAGCTGTACTATGTAAACACTGCTGTTTCATCGTACAGTACAACGTTTGAAAATATTGTACAGTGTATGCGCAGCCTAAGTAAAGACCTGATAAGGTTTCTTCTTGTACAGCATCCTTACCTCTGATATGCAACCCTTTTGAAGGTGATATATGTAAAAGCTTATGGTAAATAAATTTTTACTGTCTGAAAAATGTTTTAAAAGAATTTCTATAAAATACACAAAACTGAAATTATTTTTAATAATTGCTTCTGGTTGATCTTTGGGAAACTTTCTGGGAAAAGAACATTTCTACATTTTCTTCAATTTTACACTCACCCAAGTAGAAAAAGGCTTCACAATAGCAAACTTACTGGAATCCCCTCCAATCCCGGTGCTCCTGTCTCTCCCGGTATTCCAGAATGTCCCTGACAGACGTAATATTATTCAAATTATGTAGTCAATTTTAAAAGGTAATGAATAACACATTCGAAAGAACGAAAAAAAAAAAAAACATTAGTACTTATTTCAGTCAACCTTTCTGAGCAAATCCCTTTCACATTCATTTTAAATGTAAAAGTGAATGCCCCTGGTGCATGATTTGGGGTTCAGACTTACTCCTTACCATCGGCCCTGGTTCACCTGAAGGTCCTGGGATACCCATTTTCCCTCGATCCCCCTGAAAAAAACGATGATATTTTATTATATGTCTGCAAATAATCCATATTAATAAGTTGCTTAGAGAAACCATTATTTAACATGCTGATATTAGCAAATATTTTACACCAGATGGGTGTTTTTTGTCCATTGGCTGAGTTGCTGTTACTGAACACTATAGTAGATCAATGTGATAGGGCAATAGTACAGTAGGACAAAAAAGGACAAAGGAAACCTTTTCTCCAGCCATTCCTGTCTCTCCAACACCCCCAATAATGCCCAGCAGTCCCTAAAGGAAAGAAGAAATGTCCTATTTTATGTGTTTTTAATTTGTGAGCTATATTACTGCTACCCATTCATGACAACTTGTCTTAGGGGTTCAACAAAACAGTCTAATGCAGACACAGTGGGTGTCAAACACAAATTACCCTGAAATAGAGAGAAAAGTCTTTACCCTCTCGCCAAGCTTGCCGACCTCGCCGGTTATCCCTGTCTCCCCCTACAGCAAAGTAGATAAATTAGCATTTCACAAACTTAGTCAAGCATTTGATTTTTTGTTTTTTAAGGGAGCTCAGTTGAGATAGGCTTAGAAGCTTGTCCCTCTGTTGTGGCAGAGCATTAACATCTAATTTACACATTCTTGGATGATACGTTATCATGAAAGGGAACCAACCGGTGAGAGAATGTTCATTTAAAGATCACAGTAGTTCAGCAGTGAAGGTGCCACTTTTAAGTCTGACCTTGGGTCCATCTGAGCCTGCCAGTCCAGTAAATCCAAACCTCCCAGGCCTGCCCTGAACAGAAAATAAAAATCAGAGAAGTGCACAGTTTCACACAAATTGAATTTAACCATATCACACCAGGGACACATCATGTGTGAGTCTAACTTTCCCTTGAGAGGATGAGGCACAAAAGAAACTGACATCTGTTGCCAAATCAAAAAGATTCCTTAAGGATCCTTAATAATACAGAAAACAAAGAACTCTTTGTGGTCATTTTTTTTTCTTTTATAATTAATGGATTTGGGAGATGACAGATTGAAGGAAACCTTGGAAAATCAAAATCTGGCAACATGTTCCTTGTACGTACTGTAGCTTGACAAGGGTTAAATGGTCTTAAATATGTAGTTGATGAAGATGCTTAATGTGACTTCATTTCTTTGAAATATTTATCTGAATACTAGGGCTCCATCTTATCCAAAAAAAATGTATATACAACTCTTTACAAAAATTATGGAATCACCAGTGCCAGAGCATGGTCTTTCGCTTGTTTAATTTAGTTGAAATAAAGCAAATCACAGACATGACCTAAAACTACAGTCATTCTAAGTGGAAATGTTGTTGTCTTTAAGAGATACTATAGGAAATCAAGAAAAAACATTGCGGTAGTCAGTAACCTTGATCAAGCAGAGGGAAAATTTTAAATAACCCAATTCAGAGGAAAATATGGAACCTTGTAAACCGAAACAAGCAAAAGGACACCTCAACACATCACTAGTACGTTGTCTAAACACCTCTGGTGATGATAACAGCTTGCACTCTGATGCATGGACTTAATCATTTACAAACTGTAGTCTTCATCAATCCAGCCCCAATGTTGCCTGATTGCTTTTGCCGAATCATCTTTGCAGGTTGGAGCCTTATCATGGACCTTTTTTTTTCACCCTCCACCTCAGTTTCTTAATTGGGTCTAGATCTGGACTTTTTTCAGGCCATTACATTTAAATTACGTGGCTTTCTTTAAAGGAATATTTTCTTAGTTTTTGCTCTATAGCAAGATGCATTATCATCTTGAAAAAATATATCATCATCATCAAACATCCTTTCCTTCTATGGAATAAGGAAACTTCCAAAAATGTTAACATAAATGCAGGCATTTATTGAAGATGTAATGAAAGCCACCTCTCTAGTACCTTTACCAGAGATGTAGCCCCAATACCCCATATCATTAATGACTGTTAAAATTAGCATGCTTTATTTAACCTTCCCCATAAAAATGACTTGTTATACAAATTTTGGTCTATCACTAAAAATATATATATATATATATATATATATAAAAAAAAGGTTTTAAAATCATACTTATATTACACTTTCCTTCAGTCAATTTAAAGAACTAGGTTTAAAAGTTTTTTTTTTTTTAAATAAAAAGTTCCTCCATCATAGTAAATAGCAATTTGCCGACCAATCTGGTAACATGAGGACACAGTGTCCAGTAGGACCTCTTTCAAAACAGCTTTAAAACAATAGAAGCAGCAGTCAGCCAAAGAACCAACAGACCCAAATTGCTCATTCATTCAAAGCTAAATTTAGGCAGAGCCACATGTGTGCTTCTGCTCAGCACGCTTTATGGTCCTGCATGAGAATTACTGCTGTGTCATTTTATTTTCTGACTGGTGTTGAGTTGCAGCGGTTATTCAATCAGAACTCACCTCGGCTCCAGCAGGTCCAGCTGGCCCAACTGGTCCCTCATCACCCTGATGAAAAGAAAGTCGCTGAAGCTGAAATGAAAATACATTTCACACATATTTAACTCGTTTCCAGAATAAGTAAAAGCAACCCCACCTGAAGTCCAGGTGTTCCTTCTGGACCTGGTAAGCCTCTTGTCCCTTGCCTTCCCTGTTGAGGAAATATTGAGGGCATAAATTCACTTCATCACATCTGTTGAAATGGGCTCATGTTGCTTTACTAACCTTTGATCCCTCAGGGCCATTTTGTCCTGGTGGGCCAATATCACCTGGGAAGCCCTTTGAAAATCCCAGAAAATGAACATTAGGTGTATAACCACATAGCTGTGGAGTAACAAATACTGCATATATTTACTTCATTTTTCATTAAAGAAATAGAACATAAAAAATGCACCTCTGGGCCAAAAGGACCAGGCTTTCCATCAAGGCCTTTTTCTCCAGGTTTTCCCTAAGAAACGGCAAAGTAAGTATTTCATACCGGTCAGTTTTTATGTAATCAAATTTGTGTGTAAAACGTATATAATGTGGCATTGTGACTGAAATCTAATATCTAATCTAATATCTTCACTTTAAAAAAAATCATATTGCACCGATTTTACCCAATGGCATGACAAATCTTATAGTATAGGTAGTCAGAAAAGATTCAAGTATCTTTAGCTACAGAAATGGGTTCTCTATGAAGCTATTGTATGCATTATACCTGTTAGATATTCAAATGACAGAAATTATATATAAAAATGAATCTCCATACTTAAATGGTTCTAAGTAAAATTTGTTTTTTCTTTGCTGGTTGTTCTATCATGGCTGTGCTGTGCAGAAAATACCTGTGGTCCAGGATTTCCACGAGGACCTGGTAACCCAGGAGAGCCTCTGGTACCCTGAAAAATTAAGTTAATTTTAATGACAAGTACAATCATCAAATAAATGAGAGCAGCAGAAAGACCATTAAAGCAAACATTTAAAAAAAAGGAATGAAAATGGAATACTACAAACAAATTGAACACATTAATTCAGGGAAAAAATAAAGTAGTGCACTTAAAAAAGTGACTTTTTGGTGCAGTAAACTCTATTAGAGTATTCGTCATAATTTTTACTCTATATTTTTAAGCTTCAGTAAAACTGGAGTTTCTGAAGTAAAATGAAACCTTTTTTTATGTAATACATGAATTTTGGGCAGAGAGTAAGTTTTGCTAAAATTTCCTTATGATATTTAAACGTTTAATAGCAGTATGTACATAAACCTAAAAATACTACATAAAGTTGACTCTAAAAAGTGCCGTTTTGCAACACACGCACGGTGCATGTGCACTGTAGCTGCAGCAGAACTGATTCTGCTCCGACTCCAGACGTTACAGGATCACACACAGAGCAAGAGGTAGTCCCGACAACAGTTATTTTGGCAGGGTGCAACAGTACTGCAAAAGCCTGCTCACTGCTCATGGGATTGATATATGTCCTGAACTTGGCATACCCTCACATTTTGCGCTACACTTTTGAAGTCTTCCAAAATCTTTTCCTGGAGCTTTCTTCTGCTTGTCTAAGATTAAGTCTAAAATAGCAAGTCAAGAAGGTAAACACAGAAGTCTCTTTCCAAAATGACAATCTCTACCGTTTTCTACTTGAAGGCATTTCCAGGCCAGATAAGATACAAGTCCAGTGCTCCCAGTTTTCCTTCTAGAGGGAGGTTTCCAAAAGGTTTCTTTTGGTCATGATCTATGAGTAACCTATCTTATGACTTTAGAAAAGGATTGGAGCATACTGTAGACGGACCAGTTGTCAAGATATTTGCTTTTTTTTTATCACTTCCCCCTAAATTCATTTATCAAGGTTTGAGTGGGATCCATATTAAAAGTGTAATCATGCCCAAAAGGCTAAAATGGAGAAGGTAAAAAAAAAATATGTAAATAAATAAATAAATAAAACCCTGATAAGACTACAGCTGTACCTTCCAGTTTGAGTCCAAGGCTCCACCTCATGTTCGGTCCACTTCATAATCACATTCAACCATAAAAGTTCCATGCAAATCACCGCATGATTGTCATTGTGTGTTTAAATAAGTCAGTTGACCAATGTTATTTAATGTTAACCAATAGAAACCACAGCCAAGAGAGTGGAAAAAAACCCAACAACCTGCAGATAAACTGAGATGATTGTGTTACAGGCTGAAAGTCAAATAAATATATATTTGGTCGCCACCATACATGAAAGGAGAGAATATTAATGACACCTTAAGGGTCTGATGTAGACTGATAATATTAGCAAGGACATCCAGGCAGCATTGTGCTTATCGCTGATTGAAATTTTAAAATGTATGGATACATTCACAGAATTATTTTGTTCTTGGTTGTTAGCTGATAACCAGTCATTATCTTGGGTCAGGAAACATTGGTAATCACTAAAAATGTGTTCCCTCCTAGTTCTCCCATTTCCAAAGTCTCTGGCATAGTCAAATCATCATCCCACACCATTACGCATGGGTGATTTGGCGGTATTTAAATGTTAACAGCAATTCATGTGAACTGGGAAATGTGCAGACTTTGATTTTGAGTTTAAGCTGTTTTTTTTTGTAATAATTTGTCACAGGACCTGTCAGGGCCAACAGTATCACACTGTGGTTTCTGATCTGATAAACATAATCTATGATTAAAGCTACATATGAGGAGAAATTATGATGCAATTTGGCTTCAGTTCCCCTTAGTCAACATTTGTGTCACATATTTCCCCTTTCTCCAAAAAATAAGAGTCCATATAAATGGGGTCACAGTTGGCATTAGCATGTGCACATTTCTACACCAAGTTTGTTTTTGATAAACCACAACCTTTGTGAGGAAAGTGGCATATACAAGATTTAGGACATGTTTTGCATATATGCAAGCTTGATAAGTCAGACCCCAGGGCAGAGATCAAGTTATTGCTGACAAAGCCCAAAGACATCTGTCCATCTGATGTTTCATCCAACCACTGAAACATCAAAGTACTTCAATCTCTCCACTTGAGACAAAGACTGACCCCAGCCCAGCAGGATCAATTATAACCCCAGTAGTTCTACAGACAGAATCAACAGTGACGGATAATCTGCTAGCCATGAGTTTTCCAAACTGGACACCAGGCGACTATGGCTTGTAATGCTGTCTATACACATCTCAAACAGCACAAGGGGAAACCTGGACAGAGTCCAGCCCACACTGAGAATAAGTCCACATCAATGCTGAGACTGTGGACGAGCACATTGTCTGGGTATACAGGTACTGTATAGCCTTGAACAGAAGCCCAAATAGCCCACACTTGAAAAGATCCCAACAAATATGTAAAAAGGAAACTGTCATGGGCCTTTGCCAAATCCACAAAATATGTTAAGCAGACAACAAATTCTAATAAACCTGTCAGCAATTCAACAAGATTAAAGATTTTACCTGTTACATAGCAATGATGAAAATGTCCTTAACACATAAAGATGAAAAGACACTAAAACAACAATCTGCTTCTTTAAGGAGGATCATCTGCTGCCACATCAGTAGGACTTACCTTGTCCCCTTGGAATCCACACTCGCCTTGATCTCCAGTTAAGCCGACATCACCCTTTATTAAAAATATGCATTAATATTATAAATGTTCAATAAGATGTGTATTACAGCACTTTTTAGTTTAGGTTGATCAGAATTTACATTACTATTCATATTTTATAACATCTAACTAATTGGTAACATGTTAACAATATCATGAAAAACACAGATGCAGATCACCTTATCACCTTTCAGTCCTGCTTCTCCTTGATTTCCAGGTAATCCCTAAAAAAAATATCAACTATAAAATCAAAATGATTTAGTTTATTAAATATCCACATAGTTTGATTCTTAAACTAAGAATAATCAGTATATTTTGTATACGGAATTAGCAACCATTCCAAGACTGTCATAATGTAAGGTATTTGTATTGGTGTTAGATACAGCCAAACAGAAAAAAAAACAGATAAAAAAGTAAGAATAACCTTGAGTCCTGGAAGCCCCGGTAACCCCATCATGCCACCAAGGCCCATGTCTCCCTGTACCCAAAACCACATTTAAAACAAAACCTTCACATTCATAAATAGTGGAAAAATATCAAAATGTGCATAAAAAAATAATAAAATGTTTGGAATTATCTCAGAAACCAGTCTTGCTTGAAAATGTAACTTGATGGTTTTTGGCACTTTTGCCGAAGTTTTCAATCGTTTTTACTATCTCCCCCTCTTGTAATCAATAGAAAAGATGAAAGTATTGATCATGTCACGACAGCTAAAACCCTAAACACTCTTTTTTTTTAATAACCTGCTGCAAATGATACTTTATGTCAACACTTACAATAAGCCCATGGACTCCACATGGACCAGGAGCTCCCAGTTCACCCTGAGACAAGAAGCAGGAAATAGGATTTAGCAGAAATAAAAGCATCTGATCATGATGATAGGTAAAAACTACCTCTTTCTACTCTAGTAATATTTTGTTTAGCAGCTTTTAAACCATTGACCCTTTAAACCATATTAACCATTAACTCTGTATAGGGCTAGTTATTGCTTTTGGTTAGTGAGGTCTAGAAGCAACAGCCATTCAGTCAAGATACTACTACGTTGCTGGACATGTCATCTTGGCATTTGACTAATAAAATGAGTCCTTGGATTATATGTTACCTACAGTTAATTCAGCTTAAAAAGAAGTTAATAAGTTAAGAAAAATGGTAAAAACCTAATTGAAAAGTTAACAAGTTATGTTAAAAGTTATTAAGCAAAGTTAAAAAGTAAAAAAAAATCTAAGTGCCTGTGTCAGCATTAATGTTCTATGGTTATCTTTTAACAAAAAAAAAAAAGATTTCTTTTACTCTGAGCGTTTGCCTTGAGTCTCTAATAGAATAACTATATTTTTTTTTTTCATTTTTACATATTAGGGCAAGTTACCTTTTATTGTTAATACCCTGACCTTGATTTTTGCAATAAAACACATACATAATTTTTTAATGTTACAAAGGTAATATTTTGGATTTCAAAAAGCATTTCATTGAGTGCCTTACAAAGGGTTAAAGATGACTCTAAATCTGACTGCAGTATACCACGGTTCCTCATAAATTCAATTCAGTTGAGTTTATTTATATAGGGACAATTCACAACACACATCATCTCATGGCACTTTACAGAGACAGTTCAACCAGATCATACAGTCGAAATCTCAGGTCCGCGGATGTGTGGCTGTAAAACAGGCTGAAATCATTACACTTCCTCTACCATGCTTTGGGGGTTACGATGATGTGTTTGTGCCAAGATGTGGATTTACTTTTTTTTCCTAAATTAAATGTTTATACTGGCAAATATTTCTAAATTTGTCAAAATTACATTGCTCCATAAGTGTAGAGGTTCATTAAAATAAACTGTGCAAACCCAAGTTAAAAAGCTGAATACTGTCTCAAACCAGCTTTATTTAGTCTTTATGTATCTTTTCTATTCTGACTTGAATTGTGTTAAATAATTACTCCCAGTGATAATACTGTTACTTATTTTAGAGTTGAACTTACATGTAAATAATTCTGATTATGTCCCACAATAAAAACCCTTGAATTAAATGAGTGCACTTTATTTTTATGCTGAAAGTGGGTCTATATTTCAAACCTGTATTGAAGCATTCAGCATTTTTTGTATTTTTTATGATAAATGCTGTTTTTCTTCACCTCTGATGACCCGAATAAAAACTCTCCCATGACTGCGTTTAGCTTTTCATGGGACAGATTTAGCCTCTGAGACAAAGAGGCTTTTTGTCCAAACGATCTAAACCCAAATGCCGCTTGCCCCCATCTACACTAAAGGTTTCCTATAGGGGAGAAATGGAGGGTGCAGCATATAGCATAGTGTGGCCTTCAAATCGCCTCCTTGGGTCTCTCTGCGAATGAAACAACATGACTCAGGCCAAATGAAAAATCCCTTCTTCCCACTGCAGGGAGAGGAAATGTAGCCTCCAGCTGACTGTTGGAGGTCAGGAAATCTTTAATCTAACACTGACTCTGTCATTCACAAGCAGATAGGGTCAAACTTGGAAAAGAGAAGCAGTAAGTCATACGGGTGCTGCTGACCTTACATAAGCATGGATCATGACGGGTGTGTGGAAAAACTGCAGGGAATTGCTTTATAGTCTTGCCTAAAATGGTCCTGCTGTAATGGAATATGCAAAAAGCTTAGACCTCTGCATCTCCCAGTGAGTATGCAGCAGTTTATTTACAGCTATAGTGAAAGAGATAAGAACTGCTGTTGTTTTTTTTTTTTTTTATGGAATTTGCTAAATAAAGTATACAATCTAATCAGCAATTGTTGAAATCAAATGAAATGTCTTCCCAGTGTAATTTAGCTTTTTTAAAGGTATAGTGGAGAATTTTTTGTGAATTTTTTAAAAGACCCGCCCTCTCTACTTAAAAAATAAATGCACATGCACAACCCTGTACCCGCTCCCGAGAGGGAACGCCTATTTAACGCATGCGAGAGCGTGCACAAGCCTGTTTCTCCTTGTGCCCGCCCTGTTTAAAAGTTGCTGTTTGCATCACTCATACAAGCTGACTTTCCAAAAGAAGATTTTTCAACTGTGTCGGACTCACAACCGGTGAGTGAAAATGGGGACGAGCACGTAGGACTTATTTAAGTAAACAATATCACCAGTATGATTGATAATTAGGAGGACCACTTATTTGATGATCCACACAGAAATAGAACATCCTCCACTTTACCTTTGAAGGGGATATTTCATTTGAAAAAAGTTCCACTTACTGGGTTCCCATCAGGTCCGGGGGGGCCCCGTTCTCCAGGGTCACCAGAAAACCCCTGAGAACAAAATGTAAGCAAGCAAACTTGTAAGCTGACCGGAAAGGAAAATGTGCGACATTACAATAATTAAACACTACAGCTGCTGTTCTGATTAATAAAGGTATTAGAGTAGGATAGATTTGCCAGGTAAGGGATTACACCAAACATTGGGGATCAACAAAGTGGCTCCCAAAACAGAAGTTTGCATATATAAGCCAAGCAAACCCCGTTAAGTATTCTCCCAGTGCTTTCATTTTTTGAGGACCGCAAGGAAAATCTGAGGCTAAGTGTTTTCAAACGACAAGTGTTGATGTGTGTGCACGGCCCCTAGAGCAAAACCCTCAGGACTTGCCTGAATGGATGAACAAAGCTGCTTTCGACCAGAAACTGCTGAGTGTGCCTTTTCATTTTTTTACTTCTTAGTTGTGTGACTTTTACAATAGGAACAGAACAAGAGGTGTATGAAGCGGCCACGGGGCCATGTGCCTGTCACTATCCCAAGGTCAACCTGCCACACTTCATGGATAAACACTTGGCTAGAGAAAGGTAGGGCTGTGGGACATATATGACAGATGGCAGAAATAAGGAGGTCTCCCTCAATCTCTGTCTGCAGACTGAGAGGAATAGATTTTGTGTAATGGGATGCCAGATGAGAATGTCTTAGCTGCATCGTTACTTAGACAAATTAATGAAGAATTATGGGATCTGTGTGATCATTATTGATATTCAACTGGGTTTGGGAAGGTGAAAATCGTTTTTATTCAAATTATTCACCTTAGCAACCACAGGTTTTGCGTAAAGGTCAAGCATTACGTTTCACATGTATGTGAAAGAAAAGAAGATCATTGTTACTGGATTTGTATTAACCCTACCACCACCCACCAACACAAGACCCAAAATGAAATACCTTTAGAAATCATCTGATTAGTACATAGAGACTACCTGTGTGTGATTTAATATCAGACCACAACAGTAATGAAACAGTTTCATAAAGGCTGAAGACAACTTCAAAGCAGCATTAGTTTATAAAACAAAATGATCAGGCCCATTTAGTGAACTAAACTGAATAACACAGACATCATATGAGACATATGAGAGAATCAGCCAAGAAACACATTAGCTGTTTCTCAATATGTGTACTTGTGCGTTCTAATGTCTAATGTGCTTGTGTGCTCATGAACCTCACCCTCAGCCCAAGCACTGTTCCAGTTCACAAGAACACAAGACAGACAAAGTACCTGGATGTTGTTCTGGCCCCTCCCTCTTCACCCAGTATGCATCAGAGCAGACTGTTCTCAAGATTGACAGCTGTCCCAGCATGCACCGCGGTAGCAGCCGCTTCCAGTGGAGCGCTCACAGAGCTCTGAGTATTAAGTTAAAAGTTCACTTTTCTGTTGCCGTTTTCTTTTATAAATGTAAGTTTTAAGATCATTTGAGGACTGTGGCAACCAGCGGAGATCCGAGGCTAACCACAGCAGGGCTGACGTTAGCCCTTCTGCAGCAGCCCTCTATCTGCATAGCTGTGTATGAAGTACCGCTGGTTCTGATGGTGATTTTTTTTATTTAATTTGACAAAATGTTCATTTGATTTGTGTTTATCCTACTGTGATAATTAATATCCCCCCACCAAATGAAAAAGGTAAGAATCTATTATTATCTAGAGACTGTTAAAAACGGGAGGTGAAATGCAGCTCTAGACGAGCCGAGCATGTGGTGACATCACAAGCATGTTTCTGTTCCAATTGACCCATATTTATTCTGCATGTTCCCGTTCTCCCCAATTCCATACTTTTCTGTGTTCTTATCAAGAACATACTTAGCGAGAACACAAGTCCGTACTCGCATTCTTATGAAATGAGAAACGGCCATTATAACTCTGGTAGAGCTGCAGTGATACATATCTAAGGTGGAACTGTTAGTCATGGACTCAGTAGATATGACCTTTATGGATTGTAAAGAAAGAAACTATAATAATTAATCTTCTCATTTTAACTGGCATATATGGGGAAGGGGGTGAGACCAAAGTAACATCCCACATGAAAAACTATTATATATTTGTCAGAGAAAAACTAAAGCCTTTTTACTTCACAAATAGAAATGGAGGAAGTCATGATTGACTGTCATTGACTGGCATATTAACCTAGAGGACAATAAACATAGAGGACCCTAAACATAGAGACAGAGCTGCAATGCAGGTATTTTGAGCATAGTAATGTAATGTGTTAGAGTGGGTGACTTTCCAGCCAGTTAAAACTTATTATCTTATAAACTTCTTATCTTATAAACTGTGTATAAAAGACTTATAAATTACTATTCACAGATGCTTCTGGCAATATGACTCAGTTTTAACTTACTTTGCTAGCACAGACGTCATATGCATGATTAGACACATTTTCTTAAAGACTTAGAAAAGTTAGAGGAATTGGTGGCAGACAAATTTAGTATAAAAAATAGAAATGTTCTTGGTCATAGTGTTATAACATAATGAAAAAACTATGATGGGAATGAATACTTTTGCAAAGCACTTTTTATGGTGATTCCTAAGTAATACATTTAAAACTGGGTGGAGGATGTGTTGAAGCAACATCTTGAATTTCCCTTTTTCCCCTTATAATAACATTTATTTTGCTGCGTAAAACAAATTTCCATTTCTTTCTGTTTTATTTTCCACTTTACCACTCAGACAAGAAAGAAATTGAGAATAGCAGACCTCACTTTTCACTAAGGAGGGAGAGAAATGGCAAACTCACAGCTCGGTGATTACATGCATACTTTTCAACCTCAAGATGTGTCACAGACCATAATTGCATAACAGTGTTAAGTAATCAGTTACATCCAGACAGAGCATGGGAAGTAGTCAGTTTCTACATGTGTCCAGCAAAAAAAAAAAAAAAAAGTTTTTTTTATTTTCTGTGTTAGTCTGCAATAATCGGGAGCTTGCTTTCAGGCATCAATGATATCACACTTCCGTCATCTGCGGTTAAAGGCTCCATAGAGTCAAACCCAAGAGTTACACATTGCCATATCTTTATAACAAAGCCCACAGAAGCCCATTAATAAGCACAATGTCAAAGTATGAACATTCCTTCTTAGTGAAAAACACAGCACATCAATCAAAGAAATCCACTTAAAATCTTAAAACTCAGCAAGAAAGGTGACAAACTCTAGAGACATGAACGACCAAGGTCCAGGATACTATTCAGAGTTCATTTCTTGCCAAGAAAAACAAAATCTAGCTGAAAACCTTCATAAAAAGGGTTACCTCGTTTGAGCTAATTAAGATGTCTGAAGATTACCATATATGTAATTTATGGTTACAGAGTGCAGGGGGGCTGAATAAAATTAGAGGCTTTTAAAGGATGCTCTGCATTTTATTTGGGGTTATCAAAGTAAAAAAAGGTTGAATTACAAAAGGAGCTACTTACGGTTGTACTTTATTCTTTAGGACTATCAGACTAAACAGAGTTATCTGACTTTTAAAGTTTCACTGCATATTATCCAGGAATGATTAGGTGACTCCTACAGATGGCACTACTTTATATTTTAGAGCAGGGGTCTTCAACACCATCCAGGCCAGAGACCCAAACTGATGGTGAGATGGAGCGCAGAGGCTCTGTAACCATTGTCGCGCACCTCAAAAAAATCCTAACTACAGGTAGGTAGGTCGAAAACCCGTGTAGACCTCAAGCGGAAGTGCGCAAATAAAAAACAGCTATGATTGGTCCTTGGTATGCCTTTCCGGCTGTCTGTGTGGTCGTCCTTCCCGATTTGGTGCCGAGACGCGCCATTTTTAAAAACCAAGGAGTAATAACAACAATGGATAACCACAACGAAAGGTTAATCGAGGAGGTTAGGATGTACAACCACTTGTACGATGCCTCAGACATGTTGTTTTGGAAAATAAACACTCCCGTCGGCACCGCCAAAGAAGTTCTCGTGACCCTCCTCCGAAGTTCTCGTGAGTTCTCGAATAGGCTCCCCCTTGCGCTTTGGCGGGAAACTGCTGTGCGTCCCTAGAAAATCCAGACCGATGTTGCAGAAGCATACCAGCAAAACTGGTTCATGACCAGACGCAAGCGACATTTGATGTGTGCGGTTGCAGAAGTATAATAGGTCCTTAAGTGTAAAGAAGCCTAAACAAAAATGTGAACCACATGTTAAAAATATCCTTTTCATGCTACTAAATAATTATTGATCCATCTCTCTTGGCTACAAAAAATCAATCAATTTGTAGTTGTAATCTGAGAAAATGCAATAAATTCAGAAGGTATGAGTACTTTTGCAAGAAACGATTTATAGGACTCCTCAAAATGCTCACATTTCCCACAACAATCCAATGCATTATGTGCTGCTCAGGAAATTTTTTCAAAAGCCATTGGAGATTTTACATAAAGTTAACTTTTGAAATACTCTACAGTGTCATTGTTTTACATTCATAATAAGTATGTTGAGAGAAAACTTTACCGGCCTACCCATCTTGCCCTTCTTCCCATGCAAACCAGGAATTCCCTATAAATGAGACAAAACACAGCATGATAACCTTAAAGGGGCAACAAGAATGACAAATCTTAACACTACATAAAATTGTCATTTTTTATATTACAAAAATTAAATTGACAATGAAGACACATCCATGACACATTTCCCCACTGCTTTCAGTAATTCTGTCATTATTTCCATCTGGCAAAGAAAAAAAAAAACTGACAAAGTCCAGTTGTTTTGATTTAATGGTTTGGAGGTTGACGGTGATTTGATTTATAGTTGGTTTTCTTTAAATATAGATCCATCTTCTACACTCAAGCATTATCCATGACTGTATGTGGGTTGTGGTGTTAGTTCTGATCCAAACACTATTTAAAGAATACTAGTTCTGAGGACGTCTGCCTCAAGTATCTCATTACAGAAAAAAGTTAAATGTATTTCTATTTCATAATTTGGTCTAAGGACTGTCACAACATAACCCTGTATGCAAGACACTCTCACAGCCACTAATACTTACTCTCTCCCCATCAGGACCAGGAAAGCCAAAAAGCCCTGGGATGCCAATGTGACCCTGGAGGGATGAATAAAATATGGAACAGCGTAATAGAAAAAGCACACATAAATGAAATGAAAAAAGCAATAGGATGATAAAAAGGACACAGTGAAAATGAGAAAAAGATGGTGACATTGTTCAGATGGATGATATGGCAGACCAGCAAACAGATTTCTCTGCCATCTGTTACAGTTCTGCCAGGTTTTTGTTACAGAAGATTTAAGGAGCCAGGCCTTGAAGTAAGTGTATATGCCCATGGACTGCATGGTGCTGGCTTCCACGATGTAGTCCAAGGGCACATACCCTCGCATCAGGGATCTCTGAAGATCTTTGTCCAAAACCTGACCATCAGCAATGGAAAAAGCATTTGATTGAAAGCCTTGAAGATTAAAATAGTTTTACTATCTACTGTCTTTACCAATAAAACTATATATAATTTTCTAAAATCCTATTAGTACCACAATAAATTTGCAACATAAAATTCACCCTGTTGAATAGTATTCTGTCTTGAACCATCAACACCTTTCAGAAATGCAGACCTGCACACAAGCATATCAACCAGATACAGTGTTTAACATGTTGGCTAAAAATTTCCTGTTAGGTCTTAACTAATCAGAACACCTTTCATATCCTCCATCCTACAGTACAAGCAAACTGCAGTAATGTGTTATGGATTTCTTCCAACATTGGCTTTCCTCTTGCCACCTTTCCACAAATGTGTGGAGTAAATGGATTGCATCTTTACTGATTCTCCCCTCCCAGCAGAGGACGTTTACAACTGGCCCAGACTTAACCTTGGCCTGTTGGCTGCTGTTTCTTTCTAGTGTTGCCCTTACATGGCCTTTCAGTTTAGGCAAACCACAATGTTTTCGTAGGTTTGCAGCTGTGCAATGGTCTTTTGGCCTTTAGATTATGGACTAAACACAGAGCTATGAAAAACTTGTTGTGATATTGTTTTACAGCTTTACCCTGCCTTAGCCCGCCCCTCAACTAATAATGCCTGACCTGTCTGTTTTTTTCATCACACTGCTTTTGGTGTTCTCTAGAGATATAATACAATATAATATACTGCACAACACTTTGAGAGGTTTTAATTGTACATTGCAAAAAAAATGAAATCTAACTGAGTTAACTTCTCTTCAAATAATGCATTGTTTCATGAATTGAACAGGTAAGTGAAACAGCCTACCAGTGGAATACTGTATGACAATTTACATTTAAAATAAGAAAAATAAACAACTGCATTGTCCTATTTCACTGTATAATATCAAATTATCCTATTTTTAAGATAGTAATTCCATTGGCAAATTGTTTTATTGATATTCTCAGATTAAAGGGAAAAAAAACTTATTTAAAATTTCTTTGCTCAGTTTCTTTGCAGTGAAAGTTTACAATGAGATATTCGTCACATATCAAATTAGGAGAAAGTTAAAATGGTGTGATTTTTAACAAGGCTTTGTGTCGTTTATGAATCTGTAGGTTTGTGTAGCTACACTGGTTACACGGGCATGCAGAGGATTTATTGGCTTATTCAAATCAGACATGCAAATTTCATCAAGTACAAACAAAGGATCTGTTATGTAGCTATTGGCTTTGTGGCGTTATTCAGTCAAGATCAAAACACAATTCTACATAGTTTGTATTAAACATCAAAACAAAAACAAAGGAAATCCTTTTAGTATCTACTTACACAGACACCCTTTGGTCCTATTCTTCCTACGGGCCCTGGAAAACCCTGAAATGTAATATAAAAAAAAGATATTTTTGTCAAACAGTGAAAGAGCTTCAACTATTGAGAGAAAAATAAATGTAGATCAAATTATGCCTGGGAATACATGAGAAAAGGAACACTACCTACAACAGAGTTAAACTTTCTCTCCTTGAAAATAAAAATGTGCACACTTAGCTCAGTATATATTCCATTGCAGACAGCTTTATCTTTATAACCATAAAGTCAAAGTTCTTCAGGATCTGCAAATGGTAGGGGGTGCTAAAAGCTAATTTATTACACATCTCTGAGCATCTACAGGATCTGAATTCTGACATAGAGAGCACTCTGAAGCAGAAGGCACAGAGACTTGCATGGAAACTCTATTATATCCTAAACACATGAGAGCTCTAAAATTAGCAGGCATATAATAGATTTTTTTTTTTTATTTAAACTTAAAGCTGAATAGGACATAATTTTAAATGTAAAGAGACTGTATAGCTGTTATATTAATGACTTTACCAAGAACTGGGACAGGAGATGACGTCCACAACTCAGAGGGACAGAGGAAACTTGATTGTACTCAGAGAGATGTGCTATTACTCACACTTTTATTACTGTCTTTCCTTCAGGGTAAAACTTTCTTTGAAAACCTTTGACATCATTTTTTAAGAAGTCCAAGAGTTTTCACTCATGTCATGCTCAACACCTTTTTCATTAAATTCTCTTATTCCATTAAATTAAATGCTGGAAATATATATATTGTTTCAAAGTTGCTGTATTAACACATTTAACACATTTCATAATTTTGTTTTAATTTCACTAATAAAGTGATACATTTAAAGCTTTTATTTTTTAGTATTTACACTTTTTCACTCTTATATATATATTTACCTTTTTAACCAAATTAAAGAACAAAAAGGGATGCTTTAGAAAATAAACAACAATAGATAAAATGCTGTCAATTTCTTTCTTGTTTCTTTCTACACTGTGTGTGAGCGAAAGTGTTGGAGTGTGTGCTTGGCCCTGCTCAATCAGCACCGCAACGCTAGATTTACTGCACCTGCCTGCCAGGATAGCCTTTGGCCCCAGGCTTTCCATCATCTCCCTGCTCACCCTGTAGAAACAAAGACAGCACAAAATTCAGAGCTAGAAGTGGACAGGGATCAAGGAGGGAAACAAAAAGAAGAAGAGCTAGTTGATTGGAGGAGGAGCTAACTTGTTTCTGAAAATAAAAGGTGCAGATAGCTTTTTCATAACTTCAGTACTAAAAGACATTAAGATAGAAAAAAAGATTTGAAGATGACTAACCATGTATTCATGTAGCAGGCCTACTATCTGTCAGTTGCATATATATACAATAAAGACTATTTGTTTAGTCAAGTCAATAAAGTCTAAGAGGCACCACAACAAAGATCACCATTGAAAATATTTGATATGACAGAAAGTGAGATTACATTGTGGTCAAGTCATAAACTGGCACAACTACTGTGGGACCAGTTTAGCTCTCACACAAAATTGTCAATGCACATAAGAAGCAATGAGTCATTCCTTCCTTGTGGTAAGACCAAAGTAAATGCATCCCTCTGGGAGGAATGTTTTATATCATATATTGTTTATAAGAAAGTCTTTAAGTTCATTAGTGAAGGCATGCAACCAATTATAGGCTGTTCATACTGTATACTTACAGCTAACCACATTTATGACATACTGTGCGCAGCCAACACTTATGTCTCTGCAGTTCCAGTGGCCTTTTAAAATGGCATAAATCATGCATTTAGAGGCACACATTTCTGACGTATCAAATGGAAGAAATAAGAACATGTATACCACAAAAGATTTAATCACTGGGAAAAAAAAACTGGTAATAATTTAACATATGACTCAGAAAAGGCTGCTCAGTGGGGCAGTGGGTAGCACTGCTTCCTTGCAGACAGGAGGTTTTGGGTTCAATTCCCGGCCGAGGGTATTTCTGCATGGAGTTTGCAAGTTCTCCCTGAGCATGTCTGGGTTGTCTCTGGTTACCCCAGCTTCATCCCAAAGTCCAAAAACATGACATGTTAGGTGAATTGGCTTCTCTAAATTCTCCTTATGTGTGCATGAATGGTTGTTTGTCCTGTTTGCCTCTGTGTTACCCTGCGATTGACTGGCGACCTGTTGAGGGTGTACCCCACCTCTCGCCCATAGACAGCTGGAGATAGGCACCAGCACCCGTCGCAACCCCACTTGGGATAAGTGTGATGAAAATGGGTGGAGAAAAGTGACCTCTTAGTTTCAGGGGGGGGGGGAAATCATTTCAACATTAAAGTTCTGCCCCTTACCTGAATGTTCTGAAAATGTGCCTATTTCAAGACATGTAAAAGGTGCCTTCTTTATTAGCATTGAAGATCCTTTTATATGTTTTTTTTTCATTAGCATTTGCTGTTGCTCTAAAGCAGGGGTGTCAAAGTCGTTCCAGAAAGGGCCGTGTGGCTGCTGGTTTTCTTTCCACCCAAGCAATAGCACACCAGACTCCATTCATCCCATCAAGTCATCAGGTTAAGGCCCCGTCCACACGAAG